TCGTTACTTAAGTGTATTAATGGTATGTTTTATGGTGGTCGAAGGGACGTTACCCTATTATTTTTCATCGTGAGTTTGCATTTAATTATTTAAAGCGATAGAGATGTGTGTCAATATATATATATAACTCAAATTAATTTATGAATTAAACCTTTTCCTAAACTTACTCTTCAATAAGGAACTGTGTTTTGTTGTGCCTGCTCTAATCCGATAAGTATTTTTACATCTGTGGACGCAGTATGCAGTTTTTCTATTTACAAATACATACTTTTGAATCACCGGAAAAATTTTTGTTAGAATATTTCGAAAAATTTTTTTTTTATTTTTGGAGCATATGCAACTGCATATCTCTGCATATATTAAGAATGTTATTGCATCATAAATTTGATGCATGTCATATCATCATATTTCCCAAAATTTTGCTGCATATTTTCCGCTCTCTAGTTATTATACATACACTCTATTACCGACATAAAAAAAGTCTACACTATTTCGTCATATCTGCTGCTTTATTATCAGTTTTCAGTTAGCTACATATTGGATACGAAATTAAGTTAATTTTTTGAATAAATAATAATTTAAAGATCAACCACGAAAATACTCAATTATAATTATACATTATACATTACCAGTTTATTTTAGAGCCCAAGATTACATTGGAAAAATCTAAACTTTTGAAAATTTAATGTTAAACAGATATACCTATAACTGAGTGCGAAAGTCAATACACAAAACTCGATGATCAATTATTGTCTCGTATTCAAATTATTATTTATTTTTCTTACGATCAAAGTGAAGAAATTATTTAATTCATTTTTATTTAAGAACGATATCGCTGACCTTGAAATAGATTAGTTTTTAAATTTCGATTTTTTTGTTTGTGTTGCTTTTGTTGCCGATCAACATATTTTGCATTAGAATTAATAAAATAATGAAATATATCATTTTATTTTTCGAGCTCATTTCAAAATTCTGTATATGTATAATTGTTCCTTTTTGGCAGTGACGCATAGGCAGAGGTTAAAAAATAATGTGTCATTACTAGTCTTAATTCCTATTACCTGTTAGATGGGACATTTTTAAATTCTGATCATAAACTATGTGCATTAAGTCTCTTGTTCTGTTTTATAAAGCGCAGGTCGTTATGGACGTATAAAAATAAAATTATAAATAAATATAATTACAGGAAATATAATATGAAAAAAAAAAAAATTAAGAGCAACTCACTATTGGCGTCATCTCGCTTGTGCAAGATTTAAGACAGGGAAGAAATTTCTTTTTTTAAGACTCAGCATCTTTTGTTATGAATATACTATTTACTTGCAACACAAACGTAAATAATAAATATAAAATAGAGCTATATAATACTCGATATGTATGTTTTTAAATGTTTTTTGCTGTTGCCCTGTCAGAAACGTTAATTTTCGATTTAACATGCCATTTTGTAAAATCAACTGAAAAACACTTTGCATAATTAACTAATAACATTCCGAAGCATGTATATATATATATATATATATATATATATAGACATGTAATCGTCCATTACGAAGCCCACAATGCTATATTCCACAGCTTATACTAAACCCGACACCGACTTACGAAGCCCGAAACCGGGCTTCGTAAAAATCATGTGTATTAAAATTTATTTCTTGCGGTTGGGTTGGTATTGATAAAATATAATATGCTGGAAAGATCCTAGTTGAAGTGGGCTTCGTAAAAATCACGCGTATATCGTCGTAGTTTTTACCGTTAAGTTGGTATTAACAAAAATGTAGAATTAATGCGGGCTCAGTAATGATGCCTTGTATCTGCAAATACACGGGGTATAGTTCACACCATCTTTCTGTAGGGGGCGTCCCAGTTTTATTCTGTATATAAAATATACAGAGTGCAGGGACATGGCGGATTATAAGAACCAACTATTTGCTGCGAATTATGCAAAGCCCTAAATTTGTCAACACTGTTTATGTTTGATTGGGAGCGCTTAGGGAAGAATTACTTTAGTTGCGCTAGGTACCCAATATTGAACTTTGTACATATACCTAACTAAATACCTATGAAGTGAAGTTATTTACCTACATTGATTAAAAACAAAATACCTATTGAATTAGTTATATTTTCTTTAATAAATAAATTATTTAAGGTCTTTTCGGTACTGCACCATTTTTTTTAACTGCCAGTTCTTTGCCGAATTTTATCAGTTGTAAAACTGTGGCAATTCCTTTTTGTTAATTCTTTTAGAAACTTTAGCAGTACATTTTAAAACTACCAATTCTTTTAAGAACCTTTTTCACAAATACGTCAGTATTTTATACTACTGAAACAATTCTTTTATCAATAGGGCAGCTGTTTTTAAAACTGAAACATTTCTTTTCTTTGCTTCAAAACAACATTTTCAGAGTTGTGTACAAACATTTTTTTTTCTCAATTGCAGCAGCTGTTTTCAGCACAAGTTTATGTCCTTCACCACATTTTCCAAAACCAAAGTAAAAACAAATTTTACTATTTTAAAGTGGTTGTAAGTAATTAAACCATTTTTTTTTAGAATTTTAAAGTTAGTCTTTCCAAAACGTTAGCATTTACTTTGATAAATACAAAAAAAATCCATATCCATTTGTTTTTTATTGCAAAAAAGAGTTATGTCAATTTATTCTATATTAGAATAGCTTTGTCAAATGCAGTATGTTTTTTTGTATTGTCTTTTCTTTGTAAAAAGACACTAGCTTTTTCAGAACTATGGGAGCTATACACATTATTTCATTTTTGGAATTAAAATGGTTGCTCTGGAGTTGTAAAAATAAACGCTTAAATGATTCAGACCAACTGATTGTAGTTTTTTATTTTACTGTTTCTCAATAAAAAAACATAGACCGAATAATAATTGCTGTTTTCTCTGAGTAACAAATAGTATATTATTTTATGAGGAGCTAAAACATTATTTTTTCTGGCGAGTTTGTAGGTTTGCCAGACGAACGTAGTGAGTTCAGAAATAACAGACGAGCAAAAAAAAATGTTTAGCTCCGAATAAAATATGCTATTTTTTGTCCAAACGAGCTCCAAATTTGCTTTAAGACCGAATTTGCCCCTGAAAATTACGTTTACGCTTGCGATTTGTTAGTTTGCTGTGGCCATTTGCTGTAACATCATTGTCAATATAAAAAAGATTCCAATTTTTCGCAATTTCTTACGTGTTTTTACGAATATTGGTAAGTATTTCTCTATAATTATAATCATTTTAGATATTACAGCATTATTTTTGTAGCAGGTAGAGGCTAGAAAATGGCAGAAGAAGTAAACAGACCTTTTGAAATTGTTCAGGCTGCAGCAAAAGCTGTAAACAATTTACAATTTACAATTTACAACAAAATCAAGTGCATTATATGAAGCCACATACAGCAAATTTATTAAATGGTGCAAGAAAAAAAACGCTGAAAATTATTCGGAAATTGTTTTATTGCCGTATTTTCGTGAACTCTCCACAAAAAGTGTAAGTTTATTTAAGTTAGTTTAGTTTAGTTATTTTGTATTATTCTTATATTTTTGTTTTTCTGTAATACCATGAGGGTTCTCGTAAATAAACTATTATTATTATTATTATAAAAATTAAATGTTCGTCGTTATGGTCTCAATACTCAATGATACGATCTTTGTTGAACATTAAAGAAGGAGTATACATCAGCAAGTACCTACTTAAAACTGCGTGCGTACCTGAAAAAACAGAGTGAAGGCTATGTTCCGAAAAAGTCGAAGGTGTTCACCAATTTGAAAAGTTCTTGAATGAAGCTTCGGATGACGAATATTTGGCAATAAAGTTTAGTTTTCAGTATTTCGAAATTTCGATATAAGTAAACTAGATAATATTCATGTTTAGGTAATTTTGATGATTGGAAAAGCGGCTGGTTGCCGTTGTGATGAAATGATAAAAATGGGAACCAGCGATGTCCAGGATCTAGGATCTCTGCTTTTGATCAACATTCCTGATTCAAAAACGCATAAGAAACGATCGTTTACAGTAATTGGAGAACCTTACACAAGCATCTGTAGAAAATATGTTTCGCTGAGACTAGAAAATATTCCGGAACGACGTTTTTTCTTAAAATATTGCAAAGGAAAATGTCATCGTGCTGTAATGGGTATTCATAGTACCCAAGAATGCTGCATCTTATCTGAGATTACCGCATTACAGAGTACACAGGACACTGTCTTCGGCGCACTTCAGCTACACTGCTTGTGGATAGTGGAGCCAATCTTACATGCTTAAAAAGACATGGAGGTTGGAAGCCCAGCAGTGTAGCTGACGGCTATATTGAAGACTCTTTAGGGGCCAATTCCAAGTTGGTGGCGCAAGTCACTGGTGCAGCGCAACTTTATAATGCTAACTTGGGTATCAAATGCTGGTTGCTAGGGGTGACGGAATCAACAAACGCAGTTTTGTCGAACTTTCCATTGAAATTTGCACCATGGAGTTGCGGCACCTCTAGTAGGCAGTGCAAGTTGGCGCAATTTATCTAGAAAAATTGCGCTTGTTTATTCCGTCACCCCTAGCAACCAGCATTTGATACCCAAATTAGCATTATAAAGTTGCGCTGCACCAGTGACTTGCGCCACCAACTTGGAATTGGCCCCTCAGCCAACAAGAAAGAAATAGCAACTAAAATTTGATCAACAAAGAGCATTGCAAGTACGTCTGCTATAAAAACCTTCCGAGGAACCTTCCCAGGGATTTTCAATGAATTGTGTCAATACTGTTTGACTATAAGTATAGCTGATGATGTATAGGACTCGGCTTTTTCTAGTGCTTGTAATTTTCAAAATGCAAATATTAGTAACTGTACTTTCAATTTACATTTCAATAAATAATAATTATAATTTGCCAGTTTTTTATTTTAACTCCAGTCATGAGCGGCATTAAAGTATTTTAAAGCCGCTGACCCGTTGCAAAAATCAAATTAGAAACAAAAATCATGAAAATAGGTTTTATTAAATAACTTTTTGTCTAAACACATTGTACACAAAAGTTTTAATGCGCACCCAATCCTTGTTTAATATACGGATTACTTCAAACTGCATATTCAAAAGAAAATCACACCAAAAAAATATGAATGTGATGAACTGCTAGCTAAGCATGCTGATGTTTTTTTTATAACAATTGTCTTTTCAGTTTCTGTCCAACGAACGCGGCCACATGGTTTTATTTTCTTCCCTCCTAAAATTAATACTCCGTAACAACTTATTATGGATCTTAACTGAACAATTAGGCACCTTTTTTAACTGCAGCTTCCATGCTTGAAGGACCTGGTTCAGCATTAAGTTGAGAAGTGCTCTCCGTGCATTCTGCATTTTCCGGCCCAAACTGTGAAATTTCTTCACTTTCAACATTTTCAAAACTAGCTGTATTACGAAAAGAGTCTTCGTCATCAGAATTTAAATACATATCCTTGTCTATTTTTATTTCATCGAGGCTTTTTCCTATAAATTGTCTTCCTCTGCCTTTTTCTAACAACATTAATACTTTGGCCACCTTTGCAGTTTGAAAAATATCTTGGGGTAACCTGTTAAAAAATTGTATTTAGAGTAACTTTTTTAAGCATAAGTTTAAAAACATCATCAACATTTTTACAAGGACACGTGTATGTATAAACTTGGACTGGTGTAGGGTAATACTATCACAAGTAAAAACTCATCATATTTCGCACATTTTAGGTAGAATTTTTTTGGGGAGAACAAATAGATATACTTGGATTAACAATTTACTATGCTTACAATAACTTCAAAATGTCTGCAAGATTTCAAAGCATTTGGTTTTGCAGTCCCTGAATTAATCAATAAAATAAATTGACTCAGTGTCATTAAATTTTTTGAAACATCCCGTATATGGAAATTTAAAAAGTATTAATGGAATAGTACATCACATGTACAGACTCATCATATTTTATACATTTTAGATAGGACTTATTCAGCTAAATTTTGGGGTGACGTCAGCAATTTTTTAGGGGGATGACCAAATAGATTTTGATTAAAAATTTACCATGCTTATCATAACTTTAATACATCTGCAAGATTTCAAAACATTCGGTTTTGCAGATTCCAAATTAAATTGCAAAATGTTGTTTCATAATTTTGATTTTTTTTCTAAAAAATTTAAATTTTTTATTTTCTCTCAAAAAAACACATTAACATGTGATGCAGATTGCTTTTATTATCCCAACTACTTAAATATTGCAAGATACTTACCAATTTCGTTTTGAGTAGCCAAACTAACCAAAAACTTAAAGTGGTCCATGCTAGCACCTCGTACGTGCACTTCGATCACAAGAATTAAAATGATCTCATCAGAAGGCTGAGAAACAATAGCAAAATGGCAACGCAGCATGGTTGCATTTCACATGTGAAATATCTGCATTTTATACAGCCGGGCTTCGCATTTCATGTTGTATATCAATGGCTTCGTTAAAACAGCAAAGTAAGGCTTTTGGTGTATGTAAATAATTTCTACCCCTCTCAAGTTGCCCCCACTAAACATTTTACAATAAAGCGATATATTCGACTTATAGATCGGTATTGCATGTAGAAAGCCCGGGCTTCTGAGAGCCTGCATTACATACCGGGCTTCGTATCATCCGTCATACATGTATATATATATATATTAATCAGATATCTAGTAACTACAGTTAACATTACTTATTGGTTACATAACCGTAGTACTCCATTGTGATGTTACAAGGCTTACCTGCCAACTATATCGCTGCGACACAATAATGAGATATCTAGTAAATGCAGTTAACATTAGGTGTTAGTTACATAACAGGAGTACCACAGTGTGATGTATAAATGCTTATATGCAAGCTATATCGCTGCGACATAATAATGAGATATCTAGTAGATGTAGTCAACATTACGTGTTGGTTACATAGCATGAGTACTCCATTGTGATGTTATATAGCTTACGTTCCAGGTATATCGTTAAGACATAATCATGCGATGTACTTATTGTTCTTTTGTGAGTACGTACCTGTCACGTCAACATCACAACTGTGTTTACTGGGTTATTAATGATAATATTATTACATCATTTTTTGGAATATCTTATTATTTTCAATTATTTGTATATAAAGTTGTTCAGTGTGATTGTTTTTATTTATATACAAATTTTAAAAATCTCTTGGAAGACTGATAACTTTGAAGCAGACCATAGCGTTGCGATGCTTTCCAAGGCGTGGTATTCTAGACTACCAGGCTAGTCTAAATAGATGTATTTGTTGTTACTATAACAATATAATTCACAACTCACTCGAACAACCGAAGATAAATTGATAAATTTGAAAAGGTGGGAAATATAATTCGCCGATACGATTTGTTTTAAGAATATTATCTACCTGCTACTTCAAGGATTAGTATTTTCGTTACTGGTAGGAAGATAAAACGATAAAACGATCTTTACATATTTTAAATATTGAAACAATTTATTATTTAAAAACGATAAACTATGACTTCTTATTTCTGTTAAATCTTATTTTCAATAATTCTAAGTAAATTCAGTGGGGGAACTTAATTAAAATGTATTTAAAACTATAGCAGAGATATGGTTATCGTTTGCAGTTAAAGTTTTAAAATTGTACAACATGAAGTATCGACATTTAATAATTGTGCTATTAATTGTTTTGAGTGAAATAGTGTTTTCTACCGTTAGCGATGACAGTTTCCTAGTAACAAGTACGGAATCAACAAAAGAAGAATCTTCAACAGACTCAAACGTAAGCTCAGTGTTTCAGTGTTTTATTGCTAATTTTAAATTGTATAGAATATTCAAGTTAATCCCCAAATATACTCTATGCAAATAAATGCAAATGTGACCAATCGATATGTGAGAACGCTTATCACAAGCAACGTACGAAATTTGATGAAAAAATCAGAAGAAGCAACATTCTCTGTGATATTGCCTGAAAATGCATTTGTATCAGAATTTGAAATGGAAATTAAAGGAAAGATTTATAAAGCGTATGTAAAAGAAACGGAAGAAGCCAGGAAAATATATAAAGAGGTTTGTACTTAAACATGATTGTTCTCGTTTCACTTAATAATAATAATCTGCAATACTTGTTAAAAAAAATGTAATAGGAAGGTGTGAGTTTATCCTATTTCTTTCCAGTAGTACTAAGCATTATCTAAATCATTGTTCGTTTATAAAAATATATTACCAATTTATTATATGTACTTGAAAAAATTAACACACTGATCTGTTTCAGTTGACAGAAAATTTGATTAATATACCAAATTATGCCGAGGAAGCTATGAAAACAAGATCAAAGACAGCCATGGATTTTTGAAAGTTTGTCTTTGATCTTGCATTTTCAACTCAACTCAGTTATTAGCACTACTTTATTTCAGTGTAGACCTGACCTTAATTAACAAACAAGTATATTCATAAAAGTGGGAGAATATGCTTTGGGTCTTACACCACGAACTATTCGTGTTATTCAATTTATATTCACATATGTATATATCTGCGTTACACGTTTAAAATTTTAACTATTTTTTATTACTAAAAATCTTAGTACCTAGTTACACTCAGTACTCAATTATTTACCTCAACAGGCTGTATCAAGTGGTCAAAGTGCAGCTCACGTTGAATTGAGTGCAAGAGATTCCAAAACATTTACAGTATCAGTAAATATAGAACCAGAAAGTAAAACAATTTTTAGACTTGTTTATGAAGAACTTCTACAGCGTCGGATTGGACAATATGAACTTGTTATAAATGTTCATCCAGGTCAAGTTGTTAAAGATCTTGGAGTTCAGGTAGTGTAAAATTTAAAATCTATTGCTGTAAATGTTAAATTTTGTGTAATTAATTTCAGGTTTACATTAATGAAAGTAGACCTCTCACATATGTAAAAACCCCTTCTTTAAGAACCGGCAATGAAATAAGCAAGAACGATGAAAATTTGAATCCTTCCGCACAGATAGATGTTATTAACAAGAATTCTGCGGTTGTAAAATTTAGTCCTGACATTAACCAACAAAAAACATTCGCTGAAAAGCTCGGTGGTAACAAAGAAAATGGATTAGCTGGTCAATTTATAGTTCAGTATGACGTAGAAAGAGATCCTCGGGGAGGAGAGGTGCGTATTTTTAGTCTACAGATTGTTTTGTTTCAACTGCCAAATAACTTATACTGCCATATAACTTAAGTTATATTTTCTAAATTTTTTAAAGCCATTATTCAAGTTATGTGATAGTTAAAATTATATATTTTACAACTCTACCACTTCATTATGTCTATGCAAGTTATTAAAACTTTTCTTTGAAAGGTCCTAGTTAGAGATGGATATTTTGTACATTTTTTTGCACCTTCGGAACTGGAATCCTTACCAAAACATGTGGTCTTTGTATTAGACCACAGTGGTAGTATGTCGGGAAGAAAAATTGATCAATTAATAGAAGCAATGCAAAACATTTTACCTCAGCTAAAACCAGAAGATTTATTTAACATAATACGTTTTGCTGATGATGCTTCTGTATGGAATTCTGTGGAGAATAAATTTGTTCCTGTAAACATAATTTCACGAGATTATGGATCCCTGGAATCTCATTTGAAAGTACGGTTTTTTAATGTTTAAAACACCATGTTAAAGAATGATTTTAGGATGCCAATTTACCGCAAGCGGCAAAAGCTACTAATAGAAATATAAAAAAAGCCAAAAATGTAATGAAGAACAGATCCCACATGGGTCTTACTAATATAATAGCTGGTTTAGAAATAGGTTTGTTTTTGATCAAAAGAACACAGGAATATACACCCAATAAATATCAGCCAATACTTATATTTTTGACAGATGGTCTACCGAATGTTGGAATGAATTCTGGGGATGAAATTACCAATACAGTAACATAACATTGGAGACATGTTGTTAAAATAGTAAGTGTTACATTTTAGGTAACCAAACTAAATTCAGGTACAACTCGTGCGCCAATTTTCCCTCTTTCTTTTGGTTCTGAGGCGGATAAAAATTTCTTACAAACGTTATCTTCGCAAAATTTAGGATTTTCAAGACATATTTACGAGGCAGCTGACGCTTCCTTACAATTGCAGGATTTTTATAGTACAATTTCGTCACCTTTAATGAGTAATATTACCTTTAAATATGTGCATAGTGCGTCAGATGTGACCAACGTTCGTTACCCAATTTTTTTTAAAGGTTCTGAATTGGTTGTAGCTGGAAAAATAGGTAGATACAGAAAATTTTATATTGTTTTTGATATATTTATTTCATATCTTCTTTTAGGAGAAAATTCCGATCTCTTGCCTCAGGTTTATGGTACCTGTACTACGGGACCTGTAATTTTTAACTCTACTCTTACAGAACCTGTTAGTCCTATAGAAAGACTTTGGGCGTATTTAACCGTGCAACAGATATTGAAAGAAAGAGAAACAGTAGACAACAAAACTGAACTTACAAAGAAAGCACTCGATTTGGCTTTGAAATATTCCTTCGTTACGTCTGTGAGTTCTTTAGTTGTAGTTAAACCAAATCAAACACAGGCAGTTGACAGTGAAACCGCAGGAGCAAAGTCATGTAAGTCATGAAAAAATTACATAAAGCACCAAATGTAACACTTTTATTACAGCATCAGACCCTTTTACCCTGTCATCACCGGGGAGGCCTAGTCACTGTAAGTATTTATTTAAAAATATGTATTTGACATTTATAAAAAAATTGGTCTAAAGAGTTTAGACAGTACTTCCCTCGCTGTCGGAAACGTGACGACTGCATGCTTATTATGTTTTTTTTTTCGCAGTAGATTTCAAAGCATTCGGTTTTGTAGTCCCTGAGTAAATCAATAAAATAAAATTACACATGCATTATTTTCTTTGAGTCATCCGGTATATGCAAATTCAAAAAATATGAATGGGATGATAAATTACAAATACAGACTCATATTTTGTACATTCTAGATAGGATTTATTCGGCAAACTTTTGAGTTGACGTCATCAGTTTGTTGGAGAAGATAACCAAATATATTTTGACTACAAACTTATTATGCTCTTTATAACTTTAAAACATCTGCAAGATTTCAAAACATTCGGTTCTGTAGTTCCTGATTAAATCAGTAAAATACATTTACGCATTCATTATTTTTTTGGGTCACCCTGTATATGCAAATCGAAAAAATATGAACGGAATGATAAATCATAAGAAGAGACTCATCATATTTTGTACATTTTACATAGGATTTATTCAGCAAAATTTTGTGGTGACGTCATAGATTTTTTAGGGAAGATGAGCAAATATATTTTGATCAAAAACTTACCATGCTTAAAATAAAAAAATACTGATGACACTTTCACTTTTTGTCATATACATAATTTCAAATTACTACGATATCATATACAGGGTTAGTCACGAGAGAATTACTTCTGAAAATTATTTTTACGCAACCCAAAATACTAATACCCTGTACCACTTGATATTATCTAAATTTAAAATGAAATTCCTAATCCATGATTGCTTTGACTTTGGCAGTGTCACTTTGACGTTAATTAATTTTTAACTTTTTTTTTCATCGTTGACTCGCTTCTAGAGCCCCATTGGATCGACGACATAGAGTCAGATCAATCTGGGCTATACTGAAGCCGTAAGTGCTCTACCAATGTTGTTCGCCACTAATGTGCATGTGTTAATTCGCCATCTCTGCGTCACCTAGAGCCTCTTAGAAGTGCAAATCTGCAACCTCTGGACTTCTTCGGCCATCCATTTATAAAAAAACCATAGCATCCCGCCAAAATGCCCAACATTTTCAACAGATTAGTAGTTAAATTATTTACTTACCTGTTTGAGTTTGTGTTGTAACCTTTGAATAAAATGCCGTAAAAGGAATTTTTAGAAATAATTTTCTGGTGATTAATCGGTTGCAAAAGATCAAGAGGCACACTGACAAATTTATTAGCGGCGCCGGAGGAGATTTCCGACTGGCTGCGGTACCACTATGGACACTCGCGTAACCTCCTTTTCCACAATTGTCAAAATGAGATTGCCAAACTCATAGCAATCATGGATTAAGCATTTCATTTTAAATTCAGTTAGTATCAAATGGTACATGGTATTCGTATTTTGGGTTGCGTAAAAATAATTTTCAGAAGTAATTCTCTCGTGACTAACCCTGTATAACCGTTCCGGGATTTTTTGCGCTCTACTCGGCCCTCAAAAATAAGAACCTATGATTAAAGTTATCTCATAACGATAAATGATCCTGTCGAATTTAAGTCATTTTTGTATTCTCACATTCCCAGTTCCATGGTGGATTAATGTCATCGCAGCTAGATGTTTAGCGAAGCTACTAACTTATTGCAGTAAATCACTCAAATCCGACGGGTTTAATCTAGACGATATCAATCGCGGCTCGTGACTTTTTGAAATGGGGGGACACAATAATTTGAAGAAGATGTAAAACAGGTTGTTATTACCAATTAATTGACGAAATTGTGTGACGGAAATAAATACAAAAATACATTCAATAAAAGTAAAAAAGTATTTGTCCACTTGCCTTTCTGTCTTCGCTCAAAATTTTACGTTGATGGCATCCAAAAGTTCATTTTCGACAGTTTCATACGTACCTTTAAAAACCGTTGCTTCTTTCAAATGATCTGATAAAGCAGAGTCTAATTCAGCCGTAAAATCAATCAGACCTCGAAATATACCTGGATTTTGTGTCCACGTAAAGCAAGTTCAAAAACTTCACAATATTTTATGCACATTGTCAATCGGCGTAATATATGGCCATTTTTGTCGACCCTTGCGTTATGTGCTCGAATATTATTAATATAAGCGGTGTGTAGTCGTTTCCGAATGTCTATATTATCGAGAAGATTTCCCAATAATATTTATCATACGTGTTACGTCTATGAAAGTCTCACCTCTTTTATTAATAAATCGTCGCTCCCCCCAAAAATTTTTCACTAAAATTTTTGCGTCGTCATCATTTTTATTTAAATCAAACAACTTCATTCGCGCAGCATGAAAATTAAAAGCAATTGAGTTACTGCTTCTGGGCACTATCTATACTGGACCCAATTACAATCAAATATCGCACATGGACGCAAGGTTTCCATGGCAACGGTGTAAACCAAACGTCTAAATCAGCCATGATTCGCTCTCCGGCACTCCGGCTTTTATCAGTACTTCAACATATCATCTATCGAACAAGACACAACATCTTTAGATGTAAATGGATATTAGTTTTGAGACATTTTATACAAGTGGAGAGAGATAAAAAATTAGTTTTGATAATTATGACATAAATTTCCGGATAATTTTTTAAATATTGCAAATTACTATTTTGGTATGTCCAGTGTGTTTGTAGACGTTCTAATTTGGAGGGGTGGGCGTGGAGGGGGCACGTGCCTTTTTGTCCCCCGGCATCAACAGCTATAAAATATTTGCCTCAACACATTAAGTCAGAATTACCAAAGTAATAAAAAGATAGATATCAAAGAGTTGGTAAACTTGTAAACGTTTTGTCAACAGGACTGTTTCTATTAATATAAATACAAAACAAAAGAAAACGAAACGATCTTATTAAGTTTATATTTGCTTCTGACAAAATAACACAACATTATAAGCAAAATATAAGTGTTAAATAATATCACATCTATCTTAAACTTTTAGCTTTGTCTAGATAAACGCCTCGATAAATATTTTGTGTGTTTTCGATGTTGTGGGGATAAACATTTTGTAGCACACCAAATGATCAAAAAGATTCCTAGATATTTGAAATATTAATTTCTTCAAGAATCTTTTGAAATCTTATGTCTATTAAATGATTCTAGAAAATCAGGACCCAAACATCCGTCTAAAAGCTTCAAAATTATGTAAAAGATACATTTTAAAGTGTTATGTTTGTCTAATATGAATTTACAAGTTTATCTTCCCTACTATCATTTAACTGTCATATTTTTTCTTTTTTTAATAATATAAACCATAAGTTCTAAAAACATTTTTTTTAGCTCATCACACCGCTTCAAGACGACGAAGTAAGTACATTAGCATATGTTACATTTTACTAAATTTTAATAATAATCTGCATTGAAACTACCGAAACTTTATCACAAATTTTTATAGATTTATAAAACAAAATTTTTGGTGTTACTGACTGTGTATATAGTTAAGTTAACCTTTATGATTTATTAAATTACCTTGTCGCCGTTGTTAGCACTATGAACTAAAAGAATATTTTTCTAAAAAGTTACAAAAGGTAACAAAGTAACGTCTATATTTAGAACCTCCATCTCATCCACGAAGACGATCTCGCATCGGGCACACCAGGCTTTCCCTATCGACAACTATTGATACATCGTTGACACATAGTGGTAAATAAACGTATACCTTATTTCTATTACATAATGAATTCAGCTGTCACTTCATGTTAAATTTGTGCATATCAATAAAATATTTTTAGAAACCCTTCCGCAATGGCTCGAGGATCTCAAGAAAAATAACCGAAGCATCATAACACCCCAAGGTAAATTTGAGAGCTGCTTCGTTTTTGTTTAAATTTGTCATTTATATTCTATTGTGACTGATTGGTTGTGGACTCAGGTTCATTCCAGTTAGGACAAAAAAGTGTAGTGACGACTCGTCCCAGCTGTCCCTCAACTCCTACGAATACTACTGGTATTTGTACAATTATATTTGATTGCCCGGAAGTGTTTACGCTTCTTACAGACATCAGCGTTTACCTAAAATACTTCTGTCCATTGACTAAGTAAGAAATCTTCTTTGTATAATAATGAAACTATTATCAATATTCACTTTTAATTTTAGATATGCTGGAATGTGTTGCCCAGTGAAGAAAGGAACAACTCCCAGTGCATGATGTAATAATAAAGTCAGTTCTTCTCAAAATTGCTGTTTCAGCAATGTACTCTTAACAAATAATAGACACTTAACTAAATACAATTCATTTAACATTTGACGAATTTAAGAAAATGAAAACCATGTAAAGCAAAAACAATGGGCAATTATAGTGTTCACATTATTTGTCAACTTTTAGTAGATGTGCATATGATTACTTGAAGGAAGATTGCTGTTCCAACTGAACTATTGGATCATAGCATATAGATACCTACTGTACATATAGTTCAAAATAATCGTCTAAAGTTATTTAAACAGAACTTTCCTCGCTGCTAAAGTACAGTCGAACAAATACAGCTTCTTAGAAAATAATACTTACTATTGTATTTTGCTATTTTTATTCACTCTTTTTTGATAACCCTTATAATGAAGAAATGTATGATACTGTATACTATTAAAGTACAGGTAAAGAAGCATGTTATGCAGTGGCATAAATAACTCCTGCACCCCCTGCGCAGTCAGTAAATACACAAATACAGGTACCGACAATGCACGTAATCAACGGGAAAAAATATATTATCAGTACATGTATCGTATCGTAACCCCTAGAAATACATAGTATCGTCATCCATTGTTGTACGAGTGGAGCAAATGCAGTTGGTAACGCAAAAAATTCCTCTGGTTTGGAACCAAATTGTGGCAGCAGAGAGTTAACAGCGCGTAAACCGTTGTTGTCACGTGTCTTGGAGTGGTCTTTTTGTTTAAAGTCAATTAATTGTCAATTAATATAACTAATAATTATTAAATAATATTTTATTTATTAAATTTTATAATTTATTCAAATTAAAAATCCATATTTTGTATATAAACTACAAACTTTAAATCCAACATAAAACCATTTTAAATTTCGCGGTCTGTCAAATGGTGTTAATAATTTTTGTTTTTTATAAGTTTCCCCGAGGTTTGCTCCACGGTGACGATACTATGTGTTTTCTAGGGACTATATATCGTATACCTATACATCCAAATAAAGCGACTATTAAGCACGTACCCAGCTGATTGACCAGAGTAAGCGGCGGTAGATAAACAGTATGATACAATGACACGTATGTCAGTTTGGATAGATGTTGTGTAATACTAAAAAAATAGGGCTAGGCGGTTGAAATTTATGCGCTGCGTATGGACCACTGCAGACCAGTAGCTCGCAACCGATGTTACGCATCGCGAAGAAAATTATGAGAAAACTCAGTTGATGGTTTTAAAATCTATTATTATAATAATAATGTTACTTTTAATAATTTTCAAGTGTCGGTCTCGCTGTAAATTATTAAATATGATGCACAATTGGAAAGCCAGAGTAAGGCCGCACTTCAGACGGGTAGATAGGATGAATAAATTCCGACCGCCCAGCTTTATTTACAAACAACGACGTTGTAAACACTTAGCAATTTGACGTTTCCGGGCCAGGCTACCGTGCGTGATGTTCGACGTCCCGCATGCTGTTGAATGCGCCAAGGTCATCAAAAAAGGTTATGAGTGCAAAAAATTTATTTACAGCACATTATCAACGGGAATACATACATCGGAAGAATGTCACGTAGACATTGTTTGATTTGAATGAGTTTATCGCCCCAAAACAGATGACTAAAACTATTCATAAGCCTGCATTCAACAAAATATTCTGAATGTTATTATTATAATTCTTACCTTATCATTATTTTATTGTTATAAAGACGAGCGTATTCCCACAGTTTCCAGAAAATGGGGTAGCTCGTGCTTAATTTGATCAATAATAAATTGACCGATTCAATAATTTTTTTGAGTCACCTGTTTAAGCAAATCTAAAAAAATATGAATGCAATGATTAAAAGTCTGTTCGTATTTTGCACATTTGTGAAAGAATTTATTCGGCAAAATATTGAGATGCCGTAATCAGTTTCTTGGGGTTGATAAACAGATACATTTTCATTAAAAAGTTACCATGCTTACAATAAACTTCAAAACGTCAAGATTTCAAAGTATTCAGTTTTGCAATTCTTGATTTAATCAATAAAATAAATTGACTCAGTCATTAATTTTTTTCACACACCCTGTATAAGCAAATCTAAAAAATATTTATGCAGTGATAAATCACAATTTAAGAGTCATCATACTTTGCACAATGCACATTTAAGATAGCATTTTTCGAAAACATTTTTGGGGTGGCCTAATCAATTTTTTAGGGGGAGATGAGCAAATATATTTTGATCAAAAATTTACCATGCCTATAATAACTTTAAAACATATCCAAGATTTCAAAGCATTTGGTTTTGTAATTCCTGATTAAATCAGTAAAATAAATTTACACATTCATTATTTTTTTTGAGTCGCCCTATATACGCAAATCCAAAAAATATGAATGCAATGATAAATTACGAATATATACTGATGATATTTTGCACATTTAAGATAGGATTTATTCAGCAAAATTTTGAGATGATGTCATCAATTTTTTAAGGAAGGATGAGGAAATATATTTTGACTAAAAATTTGCCATGCCTATGATAACTATAAAACATCTCCAAAATTTCAAAGCACTCGGTTTTGCAGTTCCTGATTAAATAAATAAAATATATTCACGCGTTCATTAATTTTTTTGAGTTATAAATCCAAATCCAAAAAAAATGAATGGAATGATAAATTACGAGCACAGACTCATCATATTTTCTACACTTTAGATAGGATTTATTCGGCAAACTTTTGAGGCGACGTAATCAATTTTTTGGAGGAGACAAGTAAATATATTTTGAATAAAAACTTATCATGCTTATCAGAACTGTAAACCATCTGCAAGATTTCAAAGCAGTCGGTTTTGCAGATTCCAAATTAAATGTCAAAATGTTGTTTCCTAATTTTGATTGTTTTTCCCAAAATCTGGACGTTTCGGGTAAAATCTCAATTCAGAGTCATGAACTACATGTGTAAGACTATGCTATTTGAAACAATCGAAAACCCATTTGCTATGTACAATTTTGAAGTGACGTCAACACATTAGTGCTGGGGATGATTAAACAAATTTTGGTTAGCGTTTTTCCAGTCGACATGATATACCCTACTACAAATACAAAATTTGACAACAATCGGGCCAGTACTTTCGGGGATTATCTGTCTAATAAAAATCCGGGACGGCAGACAGACGGACAGACGGAAAATGCAAAAGTAGAGAGTCGGCCGACGGACTCGATTACAATACTTCCTTTGCTTACGCTCGGGAAGTAAAAACATCTACAATAGCAAGCTTATGGTAATTTATATAAATAAGCTAAAAAAAATACATCACGAAACGAAATCGACTGCGAGACCTGGACTTTTTAATAGGTACTGAAGCTGAATAAGTAGTGATTTTGTGTTGATTTGCTTACTACTTTTGGTAATATAAGAGGTTTTGTTGGCATAGTAAGAGATGGTGACTGTGAAGATTGAACTTATGACATCAAAACAAGATTTTATGAAACCAAGCCTCGATGTAAAGGCAAATAAACCAAACAATGATGTAATTATGTCTGACAGCGACGGCCAATTTAATATTACTCTTTATAGAATTTATTGTTAAGAAGTAAACCTATTGGTCTGCCCCGGTACAACGTCTATGGGGTTTCAAGTATGACCGGTGACTCATGATCGCCGACGGAGGCGTTCGAGAAAAGAAAATCTAGAAGCGGGTCTCCGGAAGTCTCGAATCAGCGATCGCGAAGTCTCCGGAAGGAACGCATGGCTCTTTAATTAGAAACCACCGTCGGAAGCGGTCAGTCTAGTTTAATCCAGCTGAGTCGCTTTAAATTATCGTTATATAGTTAGCTGTGTATTGTTGTATGTTGTTTTATTACCAATAAATTAATCGTTGAGTTTTTACCCACGCCGATTTAATTACAGACCATCGTAACATAATGTTGCCAGCATCCATCTCAAATACCATGTCGGCATCTCCTGTCTGACTATTCTAAAGAAATAGAAAATGTTGTCTATAATAAGTGCGTTTACACACTTTCAGAAAAATCCCAAACAAAATAACTTGTATTCTACAGAATATACAGATATCGTTCTGTAAAGTTCTCGATGGATCCTGAATATCTTCAATAAGTTGGGTATTTTCAAAATCGTCACATGGAAAAAGAATTACGAAATCTTTCCAGAACGCGACCTTTCATTTAGTAATGTAAACATAATTATTGTACTTTAAACTGAAAATATTTATTTTTGCTGCAATATCAGCTTAATACATAACAAGAATTTTATATTTTAGAGCTATATTTTTTAAATATATGTGTGAATATGCAGTTACAAATTAAATGTTATGTACGAATCAATAGACTACGCCCGTGCACTGACCAAACCTTTTGATTAAATTAATAGACGTACTGCTTGTTATTATTGTACTCGTAACTACAATTTTTAGACCAGATGAAGGATCGAAAGATACGAAACATGAAGAAATGTGATACAATGTGATACAATTTTGTTAAATTAGTTTTCTTGATGATATTTGTGTGTAATTTCAAGAATTAGTGTTGCAGTTATACTAGTAAACAAATAAAGTAATCTTTACATAATTTAATATTTAGAGACGATAAACTATGACCTCATATTTCTGTTAAACCTTTTCTTATAATATTTCTAGGTACACTAAGTGGGGGAAGTTACTTAAAATTAATTTAAAGGGTCCGTTAACTTGGCACCACCAAGTTAATGAATTTTACTCAAAAGCTAGCACCTCGTTGTTCTAACCTAGCACCAGCTAGCACCACCAATCAAAAAGCTAGCACCACCTAATTATTGAAATAAAAGCCTTTTACTTTCGGGGGGGGCCAAGTTAACGCTAGCCCCCCGACATTATTTAATTCTCATGAAAAGTTGGTCCGAGGTAGTTTAGACCTAGCACCAGCTAGCACCACTAGTCTCATAGCTAGCACCACTCTGCAAGTATTAAAAAAAAATTAAAAACCAAAAAAAAAGTAGCCCCCACTTTTTTTTCTTTAATGGTAAAAATCAGTAGGTTAATAGTCTAGAGCTAGCACTCGCTGGATCCATTAAAAAAAAGTGTGTTTTTATTCAATAAAGCCATGTAATAAAGGGTTATTTTCGGGGGGGGCTAAGTTAACGCTAGCCCCGCAATATAATTTAAAGACAATGAAAAGCTAGCACCTAATAGTTTAGAGCTAGCACCAACTAGCACCATTAGTCTTATAGCTAGCACCATTAAACAAACTAAACAAAATAATTGAAAAGCCCTGAAAAAATAACTCGCATCTACTCGTATAATTCCCAATCGTGGCGGGAAATAAACTATCTTTGAAAATTAATACATTACAATCATCCATTACTTATAAAAAGTCATGTTTTCTGCATTGAACAGAACTTAATATCTACATTATCTACATATTTAATTAAATTATATCACTTGCGTTCAAATCGTTCTTCATTTATTTCAACACACTAAAAATTAGGCCATAATAAATGCGATCATTTAATTTTTTCCACAGTCATACATTTGACTGACATTACATAAATAACAAATTTGAAACAACAAGCGAGACTATAAAATTTGAGTCATTTGTAATTTATAAATCCGAGGTTAATGACGAAAACCTTTGTAAACGCTAAATTCCTAAAAATATTTTTAAAATAATTTAAAATCCTAGAAAGTTATCAAAAACTGTGTCTAGAAGTCAAGTACAAACTATTAATTTTTACTATCCGTAGTAATAATCCCTATTTTGGGGCAAGCGTCTATTCTTTAGTTTCGAAATAGACGAAATATAGTGTCTATTGGTTAAAATGCAAATTATTTTCTAACATATCTCATAGTTAATATATATTAACTAACAAATTGTGTGGACCAACATATTGTACAACAATGATGTGGTTCATGTAAAACCAGAAATTTATAAAGAATTTTAGATTTAAAAAGTCCATCTTTATTAGTCTAACCATTAAGTGTACATACTCACACAAATGAACTGACGTCACGTTTACCGGATATTCTTAAACAAATTTTCCACAAAAATCAAAATTATAATTAATGCGGTGTTACTGGATACCGAGAGAGTCGAAACCCAGCTCTTCTGGACCTTTTGTAGGATATGCATTTCTTCACAACGAAAACTTGAAGATGTTTGACATTTATTATGTTGCATGTTGCTTTTTTTATACATTATAGTTTTGTAAAGGAATCACGAATGTTGTTTTTATAAGTGCATTTTTTTTTGTTAAGCTGTACCCAGTATTTTCCTATTTTCTTTCTATCTCTTTTTTAAATCACAAGTATTATTAAAGTGGTAACCTCTATTACATTAGATGAGTAAGTTGGAACTAGTTGTAAATTTGTATTACTTTATAGCTGCCGTAAAACAAATTTAAGTTAAAGTGTGATTATTTTATCTGTTCACACCTGGATAAGTCTGAATAGGCAACACATTTTACTTTTCATAAATAACTTCCTCTTAAATTTCTTGTAGCAGTCAAATTATTTTCAACTTTTGCTAATAACGTTTTTGAATTCCGAAAAAAACCAATATGCTTTTAACTTTGGCAAAATGTTATGGAAATTTTGAGGCTGTCGTTCATCTATATGCCAGGCGATACTATTCCTTCTAACCAAACATTTATTAAACTCGAAAAAAGCTTAAGAGAAGTTGATCAATTTAAGAAAACTAAAGTTAGGCATCTTACAGTAACAATGCCAGAAAATGAAGCTGCCTTGTTTGAAATTATAGAGAAAATCCTCACGTGAGTCAAAAGCAGATCGGAAGACAAATGCAGATTACTCAGATTTCGGCTTTTAACGTCCTGAGGGCAAACTGATTTCATCCATACCACTTCAGCCCTTCCAATTCAAAATGAGGATCATTTGCGCAAAAGGATCGTGTGGTGTCGTACAGATCTTAATTTAACACCCGAGATTCTAAATAGACTACGTAGAAATTTTGAACACAGGATAGCGCTGTGTGAAGATAGAAAAGGCGAGCATTTTGAACCATACCACCCTATTATTAAGAAACATATTATTTATTTTCTTTTCTTTATATTCGTCAAAGGATTGAATAAATTACGTTCTATTTTGTTTGAATTTTCCATTATTAGTTGTCCGACATCTTTGTTGTCATTTATGACATAGTATGATTTTTGTGTTGTTGTTTTGTGCTATTATTATTAGTTTAAAAAGATTAACAGATTGATCAAAGATGCTTCTGATGTGTATTACATGTTGCCTACATCAAAGTATTCAGGCACAGTATAGATATCTATACTGTGATTCAGGCGTGAACAGATAAAAATAATGACCCTATATTTACTTAAAAGAAAAAAATGGAGTTACAGTTAAGTCGAACTTATTTTTAAATATTTACCTACAATATATGTTTTCTGGAAATTATTTATTTTATTTACTGTCCCCTAGTCATAGTAGAAAAGTACCGACAGTATGCAGTGTCTGTAATTAGGGATATCCGACCCGGCATTGAAGGGAGTAGATGTCTGACTACGCTCTGAAAGAAGCGTGTCTTCACAATCCCTTTCTGAAAACTAATACGAACTTTAATGTTAATTAGAACCATCCATAGTTAGCACTACTAGAAAAAAAAGCCGGTTTTTAAATTCACAGCTCGTTGGCTGTACCATTTTCCAATTCCGAATCACTAAACGCGCGGTCCTCACTATCTCATTAATTATATTAATCACCCGTTTAGTGACTCACCGTGTATATCGGCACGGAGTAGAACTAATGGAAGAATTACAGTTTCCTTGATTAAGAAGAGTCCGTTTTGACGACGACAGTTTGCACTACAAGACTACTACAGGACAATATGATGCCAATTTTACGATCTTATAAGAAGATTACCGTCGCAACAACAAAGTTAGAGCTTCTTTATTACAAATTTGTAATAAAATTTGTAATAAAGGAACTATGGTTAAAGTGTTAACTCCAATAAACCACTATCGATACAAAAAACTAAATTAGTTCTTATTAAAATGAATAATGTGTTTGTTAGTAATAAGTAATGAATTTGCATTAACTTGAAAATAAGCTGCTTTTAAAGCGTGTTATTCAAACAAATATTCATTGTATAAGTGTAGTAGGGATCTACAAGGCCCACCAAACTGTTCACAAATGCTATTTTGTCCGTATACCTGAAGTATTACTAAGCGCGAAACTAAAGAATAGACGCTTGCCCCAAAATACGGATTATTATTACGGATAGTAAAACTTCATAATTTGTACTTGACTTCTAGACACATTGTCTGTGAAGTTTCTAGGATTTTAAATTATTTTAATAATATTTTTAGGAATTTAGAGTTTACAAAGGTTTTCGTCATTAACCTCGGATTTATAAATTACAAATGACCTCAATTTTATAGTCTCGTTTGTTATTTCAAATTTGTTATTTACGTAATGTCAGTCAAATGTATGACAGTGCAAAAAAATTAAATGATCACATTTATCATGGCCTAATTTTTAGTGTGTTGAAATAAATGAAGAACGATTTGAACGCAAGTGATATAATTTAATTAAATATGTAGATAATGTAGATATTAAGTTCTGTTCAATGCAGAAAACATGACTTTTTATAAGTAATGGATGATTGTAATGTATTAATTTTCAAAGATAGTTTATTTCCCGCCACGATTGGGAATTATACGAGTAGATGCGAGTTATTTTTTCAGGGCTTTTCAATTATTTTGTTTAGTTTGTTTAATGGTGCTAGCTATAAGACTAATGGTGCTAGTTGGTGCTAGCTCTAAACTATTAGGTGCTAGCTTTTCATTGTCTTTAAATTATATTGCGGGGCTAGCGTTAACTTAGCCCCCCCCGAAAATAACCCTTTATTACATGGCTTTATTGAATAAAAACACACTTTTTTTTAATGGATCCAGCGAGTGCTAGCTCTAGACTATTAACCTACTGATTTTTACCATTAAAGAAAAAAAAGTGGGGGCTACTTTTTTTTTGGTTTTTAATTTTTTTTAATACTTGCAGAGTGGTGCTAGCTATGAGACTAGTGGTGCTAGCTGGTGCTAGGTCTAAACTACCTTGGACCAACTTTTCATGAGAATTAAATAATGTCGGGGGGCTAGCGTTAACTTGGCCCCCCCCGAAAGTAAAAGGCTTTTATTTCAATAATTAGGTGGTGCTAGCTTTTTGATTGGTGGTGCTAGCTGGTGCTAGGTTAGAACAACGAGGTGCTAGCTTTTGAGTAAAATTCATTAACTTGGTGGTGCCAAGTTAACGGACCCTAATTTAAATATTAACCGAGGTCTGTTTGCTCGTCGCAGTCATAATTTTAAAATTGAACAACATGAGCTATCGACACATAATAATTGCGTTATCAATTTTTTTGAGTGAAACAGTGTTTCCTACCTCTAGCGATGACAGCTTCGTAGTAACAAGCACAGAATCTACAAAAGAAGAATCTTCAACGGACTCAAATGTAAGTTCAATTTCTCAAATGTCTTATTGCTAATTTTCTACTTGACAGAATATTCAAGTTAATCCTCAAATATACTCTATGCAAATAAATGCAAATGTGAGTAACCGGTATGCAAGAACTCTTATCACAAGCAAGGTAAGAAATTTGAAAGACAAATCAAAAGAAACAACTTTCTCAGTGATACTGCCAGAAAATGCATTTATATCCGAATTTGAAATGGAAATTAAAGGAAAAGTTTATAAGGCCTATGTAAAAGAAAAGGAAGAAGCCAAGAAAATTTATCAACAGGTTTGTATTTATTATTATTGTCGCCTTCAGTTTGACTAATAGCTATTATGGAGGGTAGTCCATGATTCAAAAAATTTTGGATGGCAGGAGCTGTGATTATACTATACGCAGACTTAACCTATTTCTTTCAAGTACGCTCTGTCATGTTCTGTGTGCGCCGCGCTGATATACTTTTTGAATTATGTAATAGGAGCATTACAAAATAATTTAATTTAAAATAACACCACAAAATAGCTACATTGTTTTCCCTTAATATCGATGAGATACTTTAGAGTCCAGAACCGATTACCAAATTTTAGTTGAAAGCTTAGGTGGTTTAAATTTACCTTTTCAGTATAGTTTTTCCCATAATAAATTTACAATACCTGTTTGGGTAAATCTACGACAGTTAACGCCCACTTTCACGCATCTAGCACATATTTCAAGAAAGTTGTTCGGTATATGTGAATAGTTTATTTTTACTGCTCGAATGTAAATAGAAAATTGTACTTATTTGACGATTGTAAAATTTGAGAATCTACTGGCCATCTGCTGTCTGCTGGCGATTTTTAGTCGTAAATATAATATCGGAAATTGCTGAAGTTGTTATTATCAAATTGGGGATGTATTTTAAGTATATTATATGGACTGTAAAACTTTAACCAACATTTGTCTGGTCGTCCCTATCAAAAATTTAACGGTGTCACGTCAACTTTTTGAACTTTTTCTCAGTTAAATTATGTTTTAAAAATGCAAAATAATGTGTTTCTACATTTGTGATTCTTTCTACTTATTTTTAACCATATGCACATAGGATTTTGGGCAAAAAATTAAAACTGTACAATAAAATTTTACAATTTGATTAAGAAATCATAAAACCGATTACTCTGAAAGTTTTGCTTGTTTTGTGTCTTCGTAATCCATATACGGTTATTCGTAGAAAAAGTAAAATTTTGACAAGATGTTAATAACGTCATCACAAAAAATAATTAGAAAAGCATATTTGTTAAAAATATGGTGGCAGTTCTGCGAAGAGTGAGAAGCTGAAATTTTTCCTTCAAAACCTTAATCAAAGAAATAATATTTAATGCAAGACAATTACTTAATATAAGACGAAATTCTGTATTCTTTATAGTGACCATAAATGAAATATAAAAGATATCTAGAGTACAAATTGAAATATATTTAAAACAGATAAACAATGGTAAAAAATGTTTTCTCAATTTTTCAGTGAATTCTTTAACTTCGACTGTTTGTGTTCTACATATTTCGATAAAAATCGACTATAGCACGTTCATATAACACCCATATTACCGGTGGTATATATGTTAAAAGTAAATGAAATTTCATTAATTTTGTCTCCTCAACACAGGGTAGAGGACTAATTAACTCATTCAGCACACTCGTTTTTTTTTTCGCCAAAAAACTGTATGTCTAGCGTAGGCACTCATAAATTGAAGAATATTTATTCAGAAAAATTGTAAGATGATGTTATCATCACAGTGAAATCTCAGTTACAGCTTTGCATTTCATGTAATCATATACCTAAAGAGAGTACCAACTTTTTTTCTGTATCAGATATGTATTGAATGTAAAATATAAATTTACGGCAAAACAGTTTTTGTATTTGTCCTTACTTCTTTGCTTTTTAAATTGATGTATTATAAACATATTTTAATTTTTAACATCATTATATCTGATCAACTTGTTAAGAATTTGGAATCATATTTATTTTTAAAAAAGAGTAAAAATATGACCTCAATTAATTATGTCAACAGGCTGTATCAAGTGGTCAAAGTGCTGGTCACGTTGAATTGAATGCAAGAGATTCGAAAACATTTACAGTATCAGTAAATATAGAACCAGAAAGTAAGACAATATTTAGACTTGTTTATGAAGAGCTTCTACAGCGTCGGATTGGACAGTATGAACTTATTATAAATATTCATCCAGGTCAGATTGTTGAAGATCTGGGAGTTCACGTAAATCAAAATATTTATTCTTTGTAAATATTAAGTTTTGTGTGATTACTTTAAGGTATACATTAACGAGAGCAGACCACTCACTTTTGTAAAAACCCCTTCTTTAAGAACGGGCAATGAAATAAGCAAGAATGATGAAAAATTGGATCCTTCTGCACAGATAGATGTTATCAATAATACTGCAGTTGTAAACTTTAACCCTGACATTAACCAACAAAAAACCTTCGCCGAAAAACTCGGTGGTAACAAAGAAAATGGACTGGCTGGTCAATTTGTTGTTCAATACGACGTAGAAAGAGATCCTCACGGAGGAGAGGTGCGTATTTTGTGACTTGTGTTAGGTACCATTGTTCTGATTACTTTTATGTTATGTATTTACTTTGTACAAAAGCGTTTTTCAAGTTACGCGATCGTTCAGCTAATGAAACACTCGTTTCACACTTCTTTTTTTCCTTTGAAATTTTTCTTTGAAAGGTCTTGGTTAGAGATGGATATTTCGTACACTTTTTTGCACCTTCTGAACTGGACCCTTTACCAAAACACGTAGTCTTTGTATTAGACCACAGTGGTAGTATGTCGGGAAGAAAAATTGATCAATTAATAGAAGCAATGCAAAACATTTTACCTCAGCTAAAACCAGAAGATTTATTTAACATAATACGTTTTGCTGATGATGCTTCTGTATGGAATTCTGTGGAGAATAAATTTGTTCCTGTAAACATAATTTCACGAGATTATGGATCCCTGGAACCTCATTTGAAAGTACGGTTTTTTAATGTTTAAAACACCAGGTTAAAGAATGATTTTAGGAAGCCAATTTACCGCAAGCCGCAGAAGCTTCTAATCAAAATATAGAAAACGCCAAAAATATAGTGAAGGATAAATCCGACATGGGTCTTACTAATATAATAGCTGGTTTAGAAATAGGTTTGTTCTTGATTAAAAGAACACAAGAATATACTCCCAATAAATATCAGCCACTACTTATATTTTTAACTGATGGTCTACCGAATGTTGGAATGAATTCTGGAGATGAAATTACCAATACAGTAACATAACATTGTAAACATGTTGTTAAAATAGTAAGAATTATGTTTTAGGTAACTAAACTAAATTCAGGTACAACTTGTGCGCCCATTTTCTCTCTTTCTTTTGGATCTGGCGCGGATAAAAGTTTCTTACAAAAGTTATCTTCGCAAAATCTAGGATTTTCAAGACATATTTACGAGGCAGCTGATGCTTCCTTACAGCTGCAAGATTTTTACAGTACAATTTCGTCACCTTTAATGAGTAATATTACGTTTAAATATGTGGATGGTGTGTCAGATGTGACCAACGTTCGTTATCCAATTCTTTTTCAAGGTTCAGAATTGGTTGTAGCTGGAAAAACAGGTAGATACAAAAAACATTATATTGTTTTTGATATTTTATTTCATATTCTCTTTTAGGAGAAAATTCCGATCTCTTGCCTCAAGTTTATGGTACTTGCACTACGGGACGTGTGATTTTTAACACTACTCGCACAAAACCTGTTAGTTCCATAGAAAGACTGTGGGGATATTTGACTGTACAACAAATTCTGAAAGAAAGGGAAACAGCAGATAACAAAACTGAACTTACAAGGAAAGCACTTGATTTGGCCTTGAAATATTCTTTCGTTACGTCTGTGAGTTCTTTAGTTGTAGTTAAGCCAAATCAAACAGACGCAGTCGACAGTCAAACCGCAGCAGCAAAGTCATGTAAGTCACGAAAAAATTATATAGACCACTAATTTTACCACATTTATTCAACATGCAAAAATTGTATATTGTATACAAGGTGACTGCGAAATACATGCAAAAAAAAAATGGGGAATAGCTCACAATATGATTATGTCACTGGGTAAAATTCACGGTCCTAAGTAGTAGCAGTGTCTAGAAAAAATTATTTGAAATTCAATGTAAATTGTTGTACGCGCCGCTGGACTGTTTTGTGACCTACAAAATTACTACAATGAATGGAACAGAGCGAGTCGGTTAAAGAACCAAAAAAGTTACTTTATCAGGCACTTTTTTAATCGCAACGTGAAAAACACGAAAAGGGCCAGTTAGCATCGAGCGGTCGGTGAAATCGGTTTATGGTGCAGTTTTCCCATGCAGATTGTGTCGATATGGTAATGGGTGCATCAGTGGTACAGCATCTCCGAGATCATGGTACCTTCAACCTCAAACTCACGATCGTGGCCGTGATAGGACAGAAAGAAGAAGTTGGATTTTCACAGCTTGTAGTGCATCCTACATTAAAAGAATACGGCCACATCCATACCATGTTGACAAAGTGCACGGTTTGGAGTCCACTGATTGTTCACGTTGTGTAACTCACTTTTTGTCCGATGGAACTCCACGTAGTCGTCAACAAGTACGATTTCAAGAGACGGTTTTCGATAAATGTGTATCAGTTGGATGAAACAGTTCGTTTGTGGAAATCAACAGTGTCCAGAAATTATCGAAGAGCTTCAACAAGTGAAAGTGACACCCGCTACTCCCGTGTTTTTTTACCTATCAACAAACCTCTTGCGACGCTCTGACGCCTGTATTGCTAGTCAAGGACAACATTTTCAACATTTCTTGTAAAAAGGTAGTAGCATTCTAAGTTGCTCTTATTTCTGTTCCAATAAACAACGTAAAATCGTTGTGACAAGGACCAAACATCCGTCAGAATCAAAATTACCAAAAAACTTTCACACTGACCTTTAACGATGAATGAGTAAATGAATGAACGAATGATAAGCAGCAAAAAGTCGGTTTTACTTTTAATTGAAACTGAAAGTGTTTAGGTCGTTTTTATTCGAACGTTTTTCCAACTCTGTTTACAAGGTGGCTCAGTGCCTTCGTATCGAGGGTGGTTCATGGGGGTTTTGCCCCATTCGATTTTTAATTTCTTTTTTCTATATTTCGGCTCTACTAGGGTGGGGGATGCCGTGGTTAAAATATTTGCACTTATTTCGCAGTCACCCTGTATAGGTAGTTTGTTCAAAAAAGTCAAAAAAGTAACTGGTGGTGGTTTTGGGATTAGAGCTGGCCATAGAAATATTAATTTTGATTAAACTAGAAATGTCAGAAATTCAAATTATTCAAATACAAATGAGGTTATGTATGCCATTTATGTAGTTGTTTGGCAGTTATCCTCTCATGCAGTTGTATCATACATGTTTTTAAAAATAACGAAAATTTATCAAAAATTTTATTTGTTTACATATTTATAATAAAGTAAATGTACAATCAAATACTGTTTCCTTTTGAAAGGAAAAAATACATATCGTATAATATGTATAACATAAAAATATTTTTGTGTTACAGCACCAGAATCCTTTGGGCCCATATCTGTAGGAATGCCTGGAGCTCGTAAGTATTAATTTAAATAAATGTTTATTTCGACACTGTTAAAAGAAGTTAAAAACAATACTATTTTGGAAGTAGCGTTTTATTACCGAATGTTTTTCTGTTAATTCTAAATTTGTAGACAATTTGGTACGTACGAATTTTTTTGTTAACAAGAAATAATTATTTAGTCATCGTCGAATATAGTTCTCAAGAAAATTTGATTGACTTCCAAATGACAGATTTTCAATTTTTAGTTTATTCAATTCTATTAATGTGTTAATAATAATGTAAATATATCCAATAAATAAGTATAATCTTTTCTTTTTACAGCAGCACCAAATAGTAGAAGTTTGGGAGTTCCATACTGTAAGTAAAGGTTTTAATTGTTCATAGTATATATAATTTTTTTCTACTAACTTTTAAAAGCCTAGAGTATATAGCAAAGTATATACTGTTCAGGATGCTTTTAGACAAAAGTAGGCAATGAAAATCTATTAATTTGATCGACAACCAATTAACTGCTAAGATCCGTAAAGAAAAATGAAATTGGTCATATTAGGTTAAGTTATTTTTAATATAAGATTCCATTCCAATAAATACGATTCAAAACACTTCAGTAAACAATTATTATTTCAGTATTTACTAAGCATAGTCAATATAAACAAATTTAAAATTCACATTTGCCTGAGTAATAATTAAGTCTTAACTTTACTAATCCGTATCAACATTTTTGATTATATTACATAATTATTCTTAGGAACTAACATAAAATAATTCTTGTTGCTGGTGCTCAAAATTCGGAATACATGGCTCAAAAGACAAAAGGCAAACTGTATGTTTTTACAGCTGTTTGAATAATATCCAAAAGGTAAGCGTCATTGGATCAAAAATAAACTGTAATAAAGTGTACCTAATTAAAGATTAAATGACGAATTCTGTATAGGATACATACATGATGAGGGAAATTTTTTCGTAAATAAAATATGGAATGTTTCATTCAAAAATTTGTGAAGTACATACGCAGTGAGATCTAGAACTGTAACTATAAAATAATCCTTTCAGTTAAACAATTTCTGAAATTAACAAAAAATCATCATCTGGCCAGTTACGCTTTAGTATTTTATTCCATTTCGCTATTTTATTGCTATTTCACTAGTCCTAGAGTCCTTATCATCATCGTCCTCTGATTTTTAATTCTCAGTCAGATTCACCTAGTGAAATAATGAAAAGAGGAATGTTGGACGAAAAATTTCCCGTATGTCTTCTGTCAGAATAAGATTTTCACAATGTCCATAAAAAAATGTCCACATATTTGGAGTGAGTTTCAAGCCATACATACTCCCCCTATCCTTGGATGAAGGTTTAGAACATATATGCTTGCTGTAGTAATTCTTACAAAACCGTCTAAAAATTTCATGCCCACTCTCTCTTTCATCGTCTCGTCTACGAAATGACGCTTTTGTGTGTTTGTCCTAAAAGGTTTAATTAATTCCTCGTTTCCTCGAAATTTCTTGTTTAAATTCAATACTATGATTAAGTATTCGTTTTTGCATTTGAGTTTTTTTACTGGAATATGGTGACTTGTCCAACTGTACTTAATGATATGGCGCGTTGTCCATAACCACCACACATTTTTTGTACAACTTAGCCAAAGCAGGAATAAATTGATAAACCACCCCATTGAAAAAAGTATTCCGTTCATTTTTTTGTGACAATCTCTATCACTGTTTTTCAAATTTAATAAAAAGTTACAGCCATCTTAAGCTCAAATTGACGTCTTGTGTGTACCATTGTAAATCTTGATCCTTCACTTTTAATTTTGGTAGGAGTACTCTTTAAATCTGATTCGTCACCCAACGACGAAGTGATACTGAACCAAGTTTCGTCGAGGTACACGAATGTTATATGCCTGCAAAAATTTTGAGATTGGAGGAATTTTCTCAAAAAAGTATTTTTTGCTGCAACATGTTTTTGTTCACATAAAATTTTGTATAAAGTTGTTCGCTCCCCTTTCAATTCAAATGTTTTCGTGAATCAGCCAAAAGTGTGTCTGTTGTAAAGTACTCGTTTTGTTCGTGTATTGACAAATTAGTGGTTGCAGGTTTTTTCAAAATACAAAATTTAAAAAAGTGTTAGTGGGTTTTCGCTTGCCAGAAGATGAAATTCACAAATTTTCAATTTCAGTGACGACAATTTTCTCTGCACTGACCTACAAATATTCTGTAATTAACAAATATTGAAAAACTTTAAAAGTCACAGAAAATGTGTTCACTATTCTCATCATTAACTCTTCACACTTGAGTTGGTTACAATCTTTTTTCATTTGCAGATGGCACCTTTTTATTGAAATGTTTTGTTGTAACAAAATAATTTTCGGCATTTTAAATTTTAATGACACAAGTCAGAAATGTTGCAACTTGATAATATAATTTCTAAATAACAATAACTATGGGAAAACCATCTCAAGTGAACGTCAGTCTCACGCACTGACAGATAAACCGTTTTTTTGTATCCTTGATGGAAAACTATCAACTTTACTATGGTGACATTAATGTGTCATTTTTCTCGTTAGCAACACTGTTCTCGTTTAGCGACCATAGTTTTCTCATTAGCAACCGTTTATTTGTCCGCAACAAGATCCTCGGAAGAGAAACATCCAATATAATTACGTCCAATATAATAGTTATTCAATGCATTTATTTTGATAAAGATGAAATGTACATACAGTTTGTTACATTACTAAGTCAATCCGTTTGAAGCAGTCGTAAACAGATGGTTGTCAGATATATTGAAAATTAAACTTGATGAAGACTGTGGCAAATGTTGAAGGGGTTTCTGAATGGGATGCTGAAGGGGATCCTGAAAGGGATGCTGATCTATGATATTTCATTTTAAGTCAGGTCACTGAACTTGTCGGTATGAAGAAATGTCTACGCCTTCATTTATATGTAGAGTGCGTTTAAGCATGGAGTAAATTGACCACATTGCTGATGCATTTAGACTCTTACTCTGCAAAAATACATAACAAAATCTAATTTAAAAATGTACACATTTTCCATTTTCTAAAAGAACGCTAACAAGACATTCTCGCTTCACATTTTTGCCTTGTCTCCATTCATTAAATTATTCGTAGGTTTTTAAATATTTTTCTCTTGATTTATCAGAAAGCAAATTTCTAACTGCTTCTCGTGCAGCTGCCGCAATTTCCCGTTGAAAATCTTGAGAATAACTCGCACAATCGTTCATTTTTTCGCGAAATTTTTGCTTATTGATTGGTCACCATGGAGGTTTGCAATTATTTCAATGGTTTCTACGTTTTGCACCTTGATGGTTCTTTAAAAAACTCTTAGATGTAGGCCTTTCCATCAAGGATACAAAAAAATAACACGTTGTACTCGTTAGAAAAGTGCGTTTTCCAGCTCGTGTAAAATTGACACTCTGCAAAAATATTTTTTTTACACTTCCTGGAAAACTAACACTTTTCTAAACTTGTAAAATAATCTTACTATTGTCGATGAATTAGTTTTTCTAACGTGAAGAAAAAATTGGATGGGTCACTTTTATCTAAAGAAATTCTGAAATCTAAAAAATTGATCTAGTTCTCGGGAGATACTAATTCTTTCGAAGTATGATACCAACACGTAGGTTTCTTCGTTAAAAAGTGTAACGCTAGTATTTAATTCAGCATTCGGCATTCGGCTGTATTTATTTGAACGCAATCATATTATATGTATATTATATGCATCAAAAGTGTAACCCATCAGGTTAATCACTACCTATGTACATCTTACAACTCCCTATGCCAGTGTTTTCGGTTTTACGGGAAATAAAACATAAAGTAGGAAAAAGATACATTTTTTCCGTCGATTTTTTTCATTCAGTTGTCCGGAAGGTGGTTGTATAGAAAAAAGTGTAATAAAAAAAACATCGCGGTTTGGTAAAGCTTAAGAGAGAAGTAGGACTGTCTCTAAACTGTGCAACTCTCATTAACCATTATTATTCCTATAAACCATTTTTCTTTTCATAATTGCACTTTTATTTCAGCAGCACGTGGGTCTGGTGCGTGGAGTACACGATCATTTTCAAGTTACCCGAGTAAGTATTTTAATTAGTTGCAGTATCAAAATATTATGAAATACCCATAAATATAAGATTTCAATCATTTAAAAACCCATATAGGTTAATGTATTTAAATAAATTGATGAAGCGTCTGGCTATACCGGGTGTCTGGAAAATGACGGATTAACTCTCCGCTACGCTCTTAACAATCAACTGGTGAGTCTGGGAAAAATAGTAAAAAAAATCCTTCTCACATTTTAATGGAGTTATAATGATTTTAAAATTGGTTCTTCTGCTACGTTTAATAAGTAAACAACTCATTCTTTATTACAATAACTAATAATAAAACGTTTAGTTAATATTTTTCTCGCCCATGACCATGTTTAATTACCATTTCAGTTAGAATGCACAAAGATATGGTTGTGCTGTGTTTGTAATAATTTGATAAAATTCCATTTGACAACAACGTTTACCTGATATAAAGCGAAGGTGGATTTCAGTCACCATCGTTACTAAGAAATCAGAAAGTAAGCCGTAGGTATTCATGCATTAGGTGTGTGCAGTGTTGCAAATTTTACTTTATAAAATTACGTTTTTCCGTAATCTATATCATAAGGATTTTTTTTTATTATTTTTTTGGGACTCCCAAAAACCAACGTAAATAACGTACTAAAGAGTTAATCCGCCATTTTCCAGACACCCGGTATAATAACTTTTTACTTCCCGAGCGTAAGCGAAGGAAGTATTGTAATCGAATCCCTCGGCCGATTCTCTACTTTTATGTTTTCTCGACCTTTCATGGCCCCTGCAATACGAAAAAATAGGTCTCCCGTTTCCATCTGTCTGTCTGTCTGTCTGTTCCTCTGTCCGTCTGTCTGCCGTCCCGGATTTTTATTTTTTCAAGTCATGACTTCCTCTGATATCCCCAGATTTTTTTTTAATAACCTGGATTTTCTTCCAATATCCTTGGATATTCTCAAACATTCCAGCCATTTTCGGATATCATTTGATACTTGTTGATATCTTCCAATTAATTGTTATTAAATTTAAATTATTACTGATGTTATATTATTGACGTCAAAAATGATAAAAACTTCACCAAAACTGACGAACTTCATAAAGAAGGTGTCATAAAAACTGGTCTAAAATTGTTTAAACATAACTTCCCTCGCGACTGAAGCCTAATCAGGAAGTCCTTTTTGGTTTGACAACTCCTATACATCCTAGGTATGTTAACAGCTATAACAGTATTAGTACTGTAAAATATGCCTTAACGTAACTCGTTCCTAAGACGTTAATTGTATGTTAACAGTATAGGATAAAATAAAAATATATAATTTATGAATATCAAAAAATTAGAGTTGAATGAAATAAAGTACCACTGTTTATTTCCTTGTTTAGTGATTGTGAATAATTGTTTATTAAAAACTCATTGTAGATCCATTTAGTGGGGCTTCAGCGATAAACGGAGGATTCAGTTGTAAGTATATGGTTAAAATTTTCAATACATCAATTAAGTCATTCTCATAATCGTGAGAGTACTGAAAACATGGATGTCAAAGATTTTGTCAGCAGAACACGTAGATCCAGTTAATACTATTACAAAAAATGTTGAAAACTAACTATCTTATGTCTGTGTTACGATTATATGATTACATTTGTTTTTTTTTTTTTGCAAAACATTGTTTAATTAGTAGTTTAGTTAAATTCTTCTAGAATCTTTTTAAATTTTTGGTTAATTAATTGACTGAATTACTGAAAATCAGTAGCCAAATATTTAACCAACGATTTGAAATGTAAAGCAAATATTTTGAAAGTTTGTTTTTCGAATATTCAGATTATTATACATAGGTATATTTTTTATGATAAGATGAAATCAGCATTTAGTATAAAAAATATTTTGCGACAACCTTACCACCACGTTTTTCTTTTTCTTTTTTCAAATTTAAACGCAAAAGACAGGTGATATTATTATTCATTACGCTGAAGTACCACTTCTTTCATTTCCATGTTGTAATTTGACACTCATGTATGTTTTACAAAACTAATAAAAACCAAGTTTTCAAAAATCTTTTTTTTCAGCTTCGAATTACGGACCACTACAAGGTAATTAAGTTAGCAGATATGTATATTTTGCGAGACTCGTTGTCAGCAATATGAAATAAAAGAACGTTTTTCCAAAGCATTACAAAATTTCAGAGGTAAAAAAAAATGATCTCCGGTTTAAAATGATCTGTTTTTAGTGCCTCAGTTTTATCTACCAAGACAACCTTATCCTGTTCCGATTTTCATCCCCACAACTACTACTGATACATCTTTAACTCAGAGTGGTAGGTAAATAATATATCTTATTATTTCTATTACACAATGAATTCAATAATTTTATAAGTATAACTAAAACATTTTCAGAAACACTTCCGCAATGGCTCGAGGAACTCAAAAAGAATAACCAAAGGATTACAACACCCCAAGGTAAATTTGAATTTTGTTTAAAGTTTAAATTGATTAATATACCTGATGGTTACTTATCGTTGCGGACTCAGGTTCATTCCAGCTGGGGCAAAAGAATGCAGTGACGACTCGTCCCAGCTGTCCCTCAACTCCTACGAATACCACTGGCGTTTGTACAATTATATTTGATTGCCCGGAAGTGTTTACGCTTCTTACAGACATCAACGTTTACCTAAAATTCTTCTGCCCATTGAATGAGTAAGAGAAATCTTCTTTCTGTAAAAAATCTATTTATAAATATTCATTTTAAATTTCAGTTACGCTGGAGTGTGTTGCCCAGTGAAACAAGAAACCACGCCCAGTGCATGATGTAATAATAAAAATTAGTTTTTCTCCAAGTGATCTTTGCAGCAGTGTAGCTCTTAACAAATAATAAAAGTTTTACTAAACACAACTCACCTAACATTTGACACACTTAAGGAAATAAAAACTCTGTTAAGCACAAATTTTAGGCAATTATTATTTGTGAACTTTAGTAGATCCATATGTAGATACACTACGTAGTTTATTTAACGTACGAAGAGCAAAAAAACAAGCAAATCGGGCACAATATCAATAGTAGAAATTTATGTAGTAACTATTAGGTAGGTATTGTATAATATTGTATTATCTATTTTTGCATTGCATCAAAAATTTTTCGCGTTGATATTTCCACTATTTATTTTTTGACAGTTAACAAACACTGGCAATACTCACCATTTGCACCCTTGTCCTGATTTGTTTATTACACCTACTACATATAAAATTTGACAACAAACGATCCAGTAGTTTTAGAGATTTGACGGTTTCTCAACGACAACAAATGTTCTACTTTATCAAAAGTTTACAATAAATAGTTTTGAAAATAATTCTCACGTAAATTCTTTTTATGATGATCTATCTAAAGCGTTTGACCCAGTGAGTCACGAAACTCTCTGATAAAATTAAAGAATGGGTAGTTGATAAACTGGTTGAATAGTTTTATCCAGAATCGTTTTCAATATATGAAATTAGTTGACCACATATTACCTAAATTAATTTAAGCATCCTCAGGTGTTCCCCAAGGATCACATTGTCGTCCATTATCGTTTCTATTGTTTTTAAACGATATAGATCAGGTTATTCCAAATTCTGTTATATTGTTGTTTGGGGGTGATTTTAAAATATAATGAACGTAATAAATGTAAAAATAAATATTAAAATAATAATAATAATAATAATTGCTTCATTCGTAAACATATTAACTGACGTGCGATTCTTTAATTTTCTGACCTAAGTTTCTAGCTAGGCTTTGAAATAAAAATTCCTTTCGTTTATAAGAGCAATTTTTAACGTGTCCAGTTATTTAGGTCAGATGTTATTGTTCTGCATTTAACTAGACATTGATATTTCATGTGTTGTATTGTGGACACCCCACATGCACACACGTTTCTAAAATTTAAAGACTTGCACATTATTTAATATGTTGGGGACTTTCAAATTCCTCTCAAAGAAAAAATTACGAAATCTTCACGGAACATTACCTTTCATTTAATAATGTAAACATTAGATAATAATTGTACTTTAAAGTAAAGAGTAAAGTAACAAGACTTTTCTACCTTAAACTCATCATTTTTATTGTTGTTTTTCTTTCTTATTTATGGAAGTACAGATATGTGTTTAAATAAATCACAAAAATTATAGGAATTTTTCCACCACCGATTTCAATAAATTTATGTAGCTCCACTCTGTGTCACAGTTTCTTGCAACTGTTATGCGTTTCCTCAATTGTTAAGGATACCATCATCTCTGATACCAGTTTTCAGTATTTCTACATTACGATTATTTATACAAAGTATTGGCAATGATTCGGTATTCTAAAATTAGGATTAATATCTCTTCAATATTTACTTAACATGTGACGATACGGTTTCATTTGTCGAAAACGTTGCTTCATCCGTAAACATAATAGTTCTGTGAAAAATTATGTTTCGCATAATTTGATTTCCCATCTATAAACCAAAATAAAAATATCTAGCATCACCTCCTGGCTCCAAAGTATGATAAAAATTGGTTTCTAGGTATAAATTTTCAATTCTTTTTAAAATTCTAGATCCGGTGTCGAGTCTGTAATTAATACGGTCGAAACATCTTCTTTTTTACCGATAATTTTCTTTTTCTTTACTTTGTTTACTGAGCCTGTATTTGATTTTTTTTATAAGTTTTGATACCCTCATTCTCGACACCTAAGCATCTGGAAAGTTTTCACTGAATTTATTAATAACATACTGGTAACTGTTTTCACCTATGCCGTAACGTTAAATCAAATACACTTTTTGTTTAATATTTTGTTATTTTGATGTTTACAATAAAATATTTGTGAATTCCAAGACCAACAGCGCGGACAATATGACAAATTTTTAAGCAGATATTCTCAATTTCTCAGTACATCCTTAATTTCGACTGTTTATGTTTATATTTCGAAAAAATTCGACTATTAAAACGTTACGATTACCAGCATCAGTGGTTAAAAGAAAATCAAATTTAATTGATTGTGCCTCGTCAACGCAGAATTGAGAAGCCTGCATAATTAATTAACCACACTCAGTTCTTTCCCAAAAACACTTATAAATTTGAAGAACATTCCAAAAATTTGTAAGATGAGGGACAAATTTTGATTAACGATTTACGATGCTTCCAAATAGCACAAAATATTTGCAAGATTTCACAATATTCAGTTTTTGCAGTTTCAAAGTTAAATTGTAAAATATTATTATAAAATATAGATTTTTTTTCAAAAGGGTAAGAAAAAAATCAAGCATGTTATTTAATGAAATTTAAAAAAAATGTATTAGGCAGAATTGTAATGACGTCATAATTTTTTGGGGAGACCATAAAAGAATAAATTTTAATGAACGACTTATTATGCTTCCTACATCAAGCTCAAAACGTTTGCAAGATTTCAGAGCATTCAATTTTGCAATTGCAGGCAGGTAGGCAGACAGACAGACGGACAGAAACGGGTAACCTATGTTTTCGTACTCTAGGGGTGATGAAACGTCGAGAAAACATAAAAATAGCAATGGACTTAGTTTACGCTCAGGAAGGAAAAAAATCTCTTAGAAACCCAATCTGGGGACTGTATAATATACAGGCTGATTCAAAAATAACTCAAAGCTACATTATTAAGTTTCGAGAAAAATCGTTAAAAAATTCCTCATATCAATCTGCCGTTCATTTACAAAAACAATATATCGACTCAGATACAATTAGACTCTGCTGTCAGAATCATATTAAGTTTTATAATATAAAATGGAGAAAACTATAGATAAAGACATGCTACTTCCAAATTTATTTTGAATAATGAAAGCCCAGTCTATATCATGTACCCGACTCTAAGAAGTGAGCGCATTTAATGACTCATCCTGTATATATATTCAAGTATTATGTTCGAATCAATGGACTGTATCTGTGCACTGACCAAAAGATTAGATTAGATAGACGTATTCACTGCTATTAATTTAACTAACAAAATTTTTGGTCCAGATGAAAGATAGAAAGTAGCTATATTTAAAGCATGAGAAAATGCTATACAATTTTACTAGATTATGTGTATTCCTGGTAATATTATTTCTCTGTATCTTCAAGACTTAGTATTGCAGTTACTAATAAACAAACAAAAGTAGTCTTTACATAATTTAATATTTAAAGGTGATAAACTATGACCTCTTATTTCTGTTAAATGTTTTCTTATAACATTTCTAGGTGCATTGAGTGGGGGAAGTTATTTAAAACTATAACTTAAATATTAACAGAGATTTGGTTACTCTGTGCAGTCGTAGTTATAAAATTATACAACATGAAGCATCGACACTTAATAATCGCGTTATCAATTTTTTTGAGTGAAACAGTGTTTTCTGCCTTTGGCGATGACAGCTTCGTAGTAACAAGCACAGAATCTACAAAAGAAGGATCTTCAACGGACTCAATAAATGTAAGTGTAATTTCTCAAATGACTTAGTGCTAATTTTCAACTGTACAGAATATTCAATTTAATCCTGAAATATACTCCATGCAAATAAATGCAAATGTAAGTAACCGCTACGCAAGAACTCTTATCACAAGCAAGGTAAGAAATTTGAAGGACAAATCAAAAGAAACAACTTTCTCAGTGATATTGCCAGAAAATGCATTTATATCCGAATTTGAAATGGAAATTAAAGGAAAAGTTTATAAAGCTTATGTCAAAGAAAAGGAAGAAGCCAAGAAAATATATCAACAGGTTTGTACTTATTATTACTATGGTCTTTAGTTTGATTAATGGAGTTATAATAGAGGGTGCATGCTCAAAAAAATTTGAATGGCACGAGTAGTGATTAGTGATTAGTTGATTACTACATGCAAACCTAGCCTATTTCTTTTCAGTATGTTTGGTCATGCCCTGTGTGCGCTGATAACAGTCTCTCTTGATTTATATATTTTTTTAATTATCTAAAATTATAAAACACTTGAATTTGAAACAACAATTTAAAAAAAACAAATTTCGTAATTTAACATTCTGTAACATTATTAAAATTTATTTACAAACTTATTACACCATTCTTCTTTAATTTTCGATCATGAGTGTCATCCTTTCCAGAAGCCAGTAGCATGTCCTGCCGTGGTAAACTTTTAATTCCTGCTACAGTTAACGCCCACTTTCATCTAATAACAGATATTTCAAGACAGTTGTCCTGTATAATATGACTGGCTTATTTTTTCAACTCGAACATAGGTAAGAAAGTACTGTAATAGTGAAGATTACCTATTTCGATTTGATAACTTGCTTTGGTAAAAAATCATAGACGTATAACAATTTGCATTTCAGTACTAATATTGTCGGAACTGTTAGTTTGCATTTTTTAATCAGTAGCGTTTTACAAATTCTCTTTCTGAAAATTCTACAAAGGTTTTAATGCGTGGACTGAAAACATCACGAGCACGAGCGAATGGATTTATGTTGAAATTATTATCAACTTCTTCAATACACTGAATTTCTAGCAGACTCGCAGACTGTTATCCATTTTCAACGATTTTCATATAAATCTTAAGATAAATAATAATTATTTAGAATGTGTCATATGCCATCGATTAAAATATTGATTAAAAAAATGTCTATAAGTGACGTTATTTGGATGATCAACAATGGCGCTCATGGTCGCAGAGTTTGAGTTGTTCAAATCCAGCGCCTTAAATTATGCGACCATCACTTGTCTCTTGCGTGCACGAGATATGGGTTAATGAAACGCGAGGCAGATATTGTAAAGTGTTTAATAAAATCTGGTTAATAAAAATCCGGACAGATGGCAGACAGACATACAGACAGATAGACAGACAGACAAACAGACCGAAAGGATTGACCTATTTTTTCGTACCGTAGGGATCATGAAACGTCGAGAAAATATGAAAGTAGCCAGTCGCCCAATAAACTCGATTACAATACTTTCTTAGCTAACGTTCGGGAAGTAATAACAACACAACGGAATTTGAATAAAACATTTTGAGAAGGCTTTGACACAATCACAATCACCTCAAAAGAAATATCTTTAATTCCACATATACATAATTATATTTTATTACTGATTTATTTTCCTAATAGCAACAATGCTTTCTCCTAAAGAACCAATATGATATACGATACTCAATGATACCGTGCTCGATCGATTGAAAATTAATTGTTCACAGAAAAAAAAAATGCTTGTTGTAGGTAATGAAAAGAATTATTTTATGAACAAAAAAACAAAGCTTTATGACGTTTGTCCAAGTGTAAAAAAATTTGGTCAGAACATAAATGTACAGCGAAATTTCAGTTTTTGCTTTATATTTTACGAATTCATATAGTTAAGGAGACTCGCTAGACCAGGTATAATATTTTTTTGGTTTTTAGTATGAAAAAATGATATTAATATAAATGTATCTACATCAAACTGCAGCTTTTTTCATATTCTAGACCGCAGTTCAATCAATTAAAAAAATATAGCTGAGAAATATCGTAAAAAAAGCACCATTGTATGTTTTCTTTTCAAGTTTTTTAAGTCATAATCATCATAGAATCGCTTAAAAATTCGCACATGCACAAAGCAACACCTTTTACAGGCCGCAGAGTCATTTAATGTTTGTTAGTGGTACAATTTGTTTAAATAATGTGTTTGTTAAAATCAAAATATACCACAAATTAATGCAAAATACGTCGAATAATTTTAACAGGAATATCAGAGGAAAATTAATGATATACTGTTCAGCAGAGTTTTTAACAAAAACTAACAATTATTGAAAAAAATGGGTATCAATTCGACAGAATTTGAGCCGTTAGTTCAGTACTTTGGCGATAGGAGCGCCACTAAAATTTACGGAAGCGACTTTCCAGGTAAAACCCTTATCGCCTGCCTAGCATAAGCTGATTGTTAGCGTTCTTGGCTGATTTTTCTAATTTATGGCAAGGAACTCAGTTTTATAACAAGCCGCCAGGACCGACCGTAGTAATCTATCGTTAAGAAAATTAACTTTTACGCAATGAAAACGAATTAAAACTGGGGAACTATAATATTTTTACTCTACTCAGGATCCTGAATTCAATACACAAGATTACTAAAAATTCATTGTAATATTATTGTTAATATATATTTTGCTTTGTTAATTAATAAAACTAACTTATAATAATAATAAAAAATATATAAAATACAGCTTTTGTTTAACACATATATAAGTGGCTAACTCTATCTACTACTTATCCCAGAAAGGAGGTGTTTTAAAAAAGACCTACGTCCAGTAATTTCTCCCTTCATTGTTTACTCGAAAAAAGTGCTCGTATATGTCGTATAATAAAAATATGCAAGTCTTGGTGATGAAAAATGTACTCCTAATAAATTATTAAAGTACATAAAAAAATAGAAACAAATTTTATATATTTTAAAAAATTCTCTTCTTTCTTCTTGAATCAATTATTTCGGGCAATAATGCGCCAAAGTAAAATCTGCCAAGTTTATCTGCCATCTTTTTACATATTTCTTCGTCTTTATAAATTTTTTCGATATTTATTCCTTTGCGTGTCCACACAACAAAACAAGCTTATGAAACACCCGTAACAAGCATTTGTCCCTGAACTTGAAAGTAGTAATCATGATTTTTTTTTAGTTTCAATTCTCTATCTGTCAATGTACAAAATTTGATTATTTTTTTTTTAACCGCTTCTTCGGGAGACAAATCTTGCGATTTTGAAGGGCATTTAATTTCGACTAATGGACTCATATCCTCTAGAACCCTGTCTGGACTAGCAGCCAAGTAAGGAAATTGTTTTGAAATAAACAAACCACACCGTTCAGTTTTTATATTTTTATTTATTTCAAAAAATTTGTTGTCCATAGTTACAGAGGTAATGTATGACTATGACCTCTAAATGTACTGTACAACAGAGACTCCACAGTTTTAGCTGTTGCTGTAGTCGGTCTAAGTTTGTAAATACGTCCAAAATTTGAAGCCGTAACCCTAATTTCTCTTTCTTTGGCCCAAGTGTTAGAGACTGCCTAGTGTCTATTTCAATTTGGTCTAAATTCAAAGATAATTTTCTCAAAAAAACCCCTTTGGCTGTAACGAATGTTTCTACATCCATGTCAGGATTATCTAAAATATTTAAACCATAATCGCAGTCGGGACCAGCATACGTACATTTTTTTACGACATATTTTTTTTACGAATACTTTGTGTAAGACGAGCTTGTTTCATAGAAGAACAATATTTTTTGTGATTAAACTAATTTTTGTTGGCTTGTTTCATGATACATACCTTTTTCGGAATTGTATGATAAGGCTGCACCGTAACACTTGGTCGTATAGCCACCCTTTAAAGAAAAATTCACCCTTTTGCCGCCAACAAACTTACTCATTACAGAATTATAACATTCCGATAAGTTGTGGTAGCATTGTGTAATGAACTCCTCGCATTATCTGCCACCCTTTTTTATAAGAGTATATACTTCTAATTTGCGTCAGATATGAACTGAACTTAACATGGTGAAAATATTTGCAGCTAAAAAGCTTTTGAATTGGTCTTGACTTCTTTAATTTAATAGTATTTTAATGTTTAACAGTATTACGAGTATACCTGATTTACTTATTCAGAAATTTTATTCTTCTTTATCATTAAAAACGAGTAAGAATAAAAGGTTAATTGACCTAAGTTAATTATGTCAACAGGCTGTATCAAGTGGTCAAAGTGCAGCTCACGTTGAATTGAGTGCAAGAGATTCCAAAACATTTACAGTATCAGTCAATATAGAACCAGAAAGTAAAACAATATTTAGACTTGTTTATGAAGAACTTCTTCAGCGTCGGCTTGGGCAGTATGAACTTGTAATAAATATTCATCCAGGTCAAGTTGTTAAAGATCTTGGAGTTCAGGTAATGTAATTTGTAATATTTATTGTTGTAAATACAAAATTGTGTAATTATTTTTAGGTTTATATAAATGAAAGCAGGCCACTCACATTTGTAAAAACCCCTTCTTTAAGAACGGGTAATGAAATCAGCAAGAATGATGAAAAATTGAATCCTTCTGCTCAAATAGATGTGATTAATAATACGAGTAATTCTGCAGACGTAAAATTTACCCCTAGCATTAATCAACAAAAAACATTCGCCGAAAATCTTGGTGGTAACAAAGAAAATGGATTGGCTGGTCAATTTGTCGTTCAATACGACGTAGAAAGAGATCCTCAGGGAGGAGAGGTGAGTATTTTGTGACATGTGTCAGCTATCACAAAAGTGAAACAACTGTTCTGATTACTTTTATATTATTTACTTTTTACAAAAGCGTTTTTCAAGAGCGATCGATTCGTTAAAGTGGAACACTCGTTTCACAGTTCTTTTAATTAATTATACGTGTAAACCATTTATTAAACTTTTTCTTTGAAAGGTTTTGGTTAAAGATGGATATTTCGTACACTTTTTTGCACCTTCTGAATTGGACCCTTTACCAAAACACGTAGTCTTTGTATTAGACCACAGCGGTAGTATGTCTGGAAGAAAAATTGATCAATTAATAGAAGCAATGCAAAACATTTTACCTCAGCTAAAACCAGAAGATTTATTTAACATAATACGATTTGCTGATGATGCTTCTGTATGGAATTCTGTGGAGAACAAATTTGTTCCTGTAAATATAAATTCACGAAATTATGGATCCCTGGAACCACATTTGAAAGTACTGTTTTTTAATGTTTAAAACACCAGGTTAAAGAATGATTGTAGGAAGCCAATTTATCGCGAGCCGCAGAAGCTTCTAGTCAAAATATAGAAAATGCCAAAAATATAGTGAAGGATAAATCCGACATGGGTCTTACTAATATAATAGCTGGTTTAGAAATAGGTTTGTTCTTGATCAAAAGAACACAAGAACATACCCCCAATAAATATCAGCCACTACTTATATTTTTAACTGATGGTCTACCGAATGTTGGAATGCATTCTGGCTATGAAATTACCAACACGGTAACAAGATAACATGAAAACATGTTGTTAAAATAGTAAGAGTTACTTACATTTTAGGTAACCAAACTAAATTCAGGTACAACTCGTGCTGCAATTTTCTCGCTTTCTTTTGGTCATGGTGCGGATAAAAATTTCTTACAAAAGTTATCTTCGCAAAATCTAGGATTTTCAAGACATATTTACGAGGCAGCTGACGCTTCCTTACAATTACAAGATTTTTACAGTACAATTTCGTCACCTTTAATGAGTAATATTACGTTTAAATATGTGGACAGTGTGTCAGATGTGACCAATGTTCGTTATCCAATTCTTTTTAAAGGTTCAGAATTGGTTGTAGCTGGAAAAACAGGTAGATACAGAAAACGTTATATTGTTTTTGACACATTTATTTCATATTCTCTTTTAGGAGAAAATTCCGATCTCTTGCCACAGGTTTATGGTACTTGTACTACAGGACGTGTGATTTTTAACACTACTCGTACAGAACCTGTTAGTTCCATAGAAAGACTGTGGGGGTATTTGACTGTACAACAGATTCTAAAAGAAAGGGAAACAGCAGATAACAAAACTGAACTTACAAAAAAAGCACTCGATTTGGCCTTGAAATATTCCTTCGTTACGTCTGTAAGTTCTTTAGTTGTCGTTAAACCAAATCAAACAGACGCAGTCGACAGTCAAACCGCAACAGCGAAATCATGTAAGTCTTAAAAAATACATAGAGCACTAATTTTAACGCATTTCTTCAACATCCAATACATTATAGTTACTTATATCACATATGAAGTTTTAAATAAGAGAATTTGAGGGCGTGTTGATTATTTCAAAAGCATGATTTTCTGATTATGTTACTGACATAATTTATCACAAGGAGCTTGTCCTCCTACAGTTAGGTTTTATTACTGTATATACCTATTTATCCCAATTTCAGTAGTTATACATAGAAAATTTGAAAAAAGCCTTTAACATTATTATCACTACCTACGCCTAAGAGCAGAGAGCAAAATCTGTTATGCTTGCATGAAGCAAGAACAATGCTTTATTACATTAAACTAGTATACTCTTCCTTTATTATATTATTTAAAAAAATTTTATGAACCCGGATAAATATTTTAAAAACTTCTATGTCTAGCTTTTTGAAATTTTCTTACATTTTGTAAGGTTATAAATTTGTGTCTACATTATGTAGTTATTCAAGACTTCGAGAGTTACATTTCTCGTTCATTTGTGTCACATATAACTTAGGTGTTTTTAAAATTGACGAAAAGGTATCTAAAATTTTTACAAAATTATTTAAACTAAAATAAATTTAGTCGGATTTTATTGTAGGTTTAGTTTTCCTTTTAGGAGAAAAAAATATATCAAATAAAAATATTCTTTTCTTACAGCATCAGAACGTTTTGTACCGTCAGCTCCGGCAATCTCAGGACCTGGTAAGTATTCATTTAAAAACATTTAACATTTCTAAAAGAGATAAAAAAAAATTTAGGAATAGTGTTTTATCATTGTATTATTTTTTGTTAATTATAGATTTCTAGACAATTCGGTACATGCGAACTTTATTGTGAACAATAAACAATTGTTAGATCATCGTCGAATATAATCCTTATGAAAATTTAATTGATTTCCAAGTTACAAATTTTCAATCTTGTATTAAATTCTATAAATATGTAAAGAATAATCTAAACATCTGCAATGAATAAGTACATTTTTTTCTTTTTACAGCACCAAGATTGGGATTGTTTGGTAAGTAAAGATGTTAGTCGTTATTAATAAATAACTTGTGTGTATGTGTATAGACAATAATGTATCTGCAATAAATAAGTACATTTTTTCTTTTTACAGCAGGACCAAGATTGGGGGGAGGTTCATTTTGTAAGTAAAGGTGTTAGTTGTTCTTAATAATTTGTTTCTACTAAATGCCAGTGGTGACTCGTGACCTTTTGAAATGGGGGGGGGGGGGGACACAATTTGATTGATGAGTTAAATATGAAGATGTAAAGCAGGTTGTTATTACCAATTAATAGACGAAATTATGTGACGGAAATAAATAAAAAATACATTCAATAAAAATAAAAAAAGAATTCTCCACATACATTTTTGCCTTCGGTCAAAATTTTACGTTCATGTCATCTAAAAGTTCATTTTGAACAATTTTAGGCGTCCCTTTAAAAACCGTTGCTTCTTTCAAATGATCTGATAAACTCCAATTCAGCCATAAAATCAATCAAATCTCGAAAATACCTGGATTTTGTGGTTCTCTACTTTCCTCATGTCCACGTAAAGCAAGTTCAAACACTCGGACAATCGGCGTAATATAGCCATTTTTGACGACCCTTACGTTATGTGCGCGAATATTACTAATATAAGCGGTGTGTAGTTGTTTCCGAATGTCTGTATTACCGAGAAAATTATCCAAAAATATTTATCATACGTGTTCGCACAGAATGAAAATTAAAACCCGCGATAGTAACTCAATCCTGCCGGGCACTGTCGCAATGGGACCACAACCCAGGTGAATCAGGCGGCTAGGACGTAAAGTTTCCATGGCAGCGGTGTAAACAAAACGTCTAAACCAGGCATGATTCGGTTTCTGTTTCCGGTTTTATCAGCATTTCATCAGAAATAACATATCATGTATGCAAGACACGTCTTTAGATGTGAGTGAATGAATTATAAAATTAAATTGTGCGAATTTTGTTTTTTTGCTTAGAAATCACCTGTAAATTAAAATAAGAATAAGCGTGGATTATTAAATTCCAAACAAATAGCATAATATATATGTATTTCAAATGGGATTTTCTTAATAATATTTTGTGGCGACATATTCAACTTTTTAAAAGGCATAAATATATCAGTACACTGTAATATTTATAGCAATTATGTTCCCAAAATTTCGATGAAATGAGTAAGCCGTTTTATATGTAGTCAGAAATAACAATTGCTTCATTCATCATTTTTAGACGTATGACATAATTAATATATATAATATCCGTTCGCAAAACTCCCGCACTGTCAGTGTCAGATTTGGAAAAAATGACCTGAGTGTACTCAGTGGTGAGATGCGAAAAACCTGTACAATATGTTGCAAAATTGCAATCTAGTGACAAATTAGTAACTAAAAATAACTTGTCAAATAAAAATGTCAAAAGCACATTAATTGAAGATTTTTATCAATTCAAGTAAAGAAAGAGTATGACACACGAACGACAACGAAAGCTTTTTTTGAATAATACAGGGTGTTATTGAAAGGTACGTACAACAAAATTGAGAGTTATTCGCGAAGTCGAAGAAGTCTGAAAAACTTAGTTGTTGTTATCAAAATTATAAGGGGAAAATTAAACCTTATCCAACCTTTTTAGACGCTACTGAAGGATAAATAGGTAAAACTAATTTATTTTAGTAAATTCTAGCAACTGTAACCATAAGACTTTTGTCAAGATTAAATATTGCTATAGAAACGAAAGATGATCTTTTTATCAGAGGCGTACAACGAATTTGGACATAAATTTTAATAATTTTCATTTCTAAAAGGAGAACACTTTTACCTGAACTTTTTTTTACTTTTAGGATCCATACTTCGAGACCAATTACCGATTTTATTTTGTACGTACCTTTCAATAACACGCTGTATATATTTTTGACCTTACTGCCTACTTCTACGCTTCTGGTGCTACAATTTGTTTGAATTACTGACAAGTTCTTTAAACACATTGAACACTTCAGCAACTCAAAAGGTAAAATAGTTAATAAACATTTGATTTTTCATTCATTAATTTTGAAAATTTGAAATTCAAGGCGGTAATCATATAAACTTAAAAATCTTTTAGGGGATTATTTCTCATACCAATAGAATGTCATTCTGACAGTGCGGGAGTTTTGCAAACGGATATTATATAATTTTAAAATGACGTCATCAAATTTTTTTAAGGGACCAACAGATGAATTTCGGATAATCTTAAATGTATAAAATTTCAGATCATCGGTATGGTGGGTATAGTGCACAATCGTCATCAATCTTCCGTGGTAAGTGTTTTAAGTAATCCTTTCAATAATTTAAAAACCGCATAGCCTAATTTAAATAAATTAATGATGCGTCTATTTAATTTCCTATGAACATGACCTACAGTTAATGCTTGATATTCAATAATTCAGATTTATTCTATTACATAGGTACCATTATTTAGTTTCGCTTTGTAAAGAAAATTATAATGAAATTTTTAAAAGGTGTTTATACTGATTTTGGAGGACGTTTAGATTTGTTTTTGCTTTAAAAACACGCAATATTTTTAAAGCAATAAGTGACTAGTAAAATTTTATATAACTACAAAAAAAATTTCTGTCACATATTTTGTTAGATACTTTTAAACTTTGTTCTGATATTCGAATCCTTGGATATTATTGAGCAACCCGAAATATTTTCAAATATTATTTTACATCTGTTAATATCTTGCAATTATTGATATTAACTATCTAAGTTTTTTTTTTTTGGATTTGTTCGATATTTTCGAATATCTTTTGTTTCTATGTTAGATTTACAGATTTTTGCAGTACGGGATTACTGTATTCAGTAAAATATTAGTTCTACATAGTTTGGGTACAGCCACCGATCTAAACGAAGCGAAAATATATTTCGCAAAACAACCACAGCTATTCACTTACGATCAGCAGTATTGGTCTATGACTTGACCCAGTTCATACTCGAATTATGATACAGCTCTAGATGGTTTCCAAAAACTGCAAATTTACGCTATTTTGATTAATAACAAAAAACAAATCTAAGAAATAGAATTAACGTACTCAGACGCAACACGTATAATAAAATATGCTTTTAATAATAATTGTAATATAATGATTTTTTTTCATTTATTGCAGCCTCTCCAAGGACACTCAAATGGAGAACTGACAGTGGTAAGTTCGAAACACGAACACTAATAAATTAAAGTACCGACCAACGTAACAATTTCGATCGTTTTCCGGGTTGGAACCGTGTTAATTGAGTTTTTGGGCTCAACGTTTCGCACACTTTCGTAAGTTTCTTCTGAGTTTCGCCTCTGGTATGGTTGACATACTGAGTTACCGTGCTCTTTTGCCTTACTCTTAACCCTGCTCCTGAAGATGCCACTTACGAAAGTGTGCGAAACGTTGAGCCCAAAAACTCAATTAACACGGTTCCAACCCGGAAAACGATCATGTATTGATTCCGACCGTGAAAGCCTCCGAAATCAACGTAACAATATTTTACAAGACCCGTTGCAACGTGAACTTAAAGAAGCTTTTTCTAAAGCGTTCCGAAATTAATACGATATAAAAAATAATCTCAAGTTTAAAATGATCTATTTTTAGGAGGACCCCGATTTTATACAACAAGACGACCTTACACTATTACGGCTTCTATCCCCACAACTACTACCGATATATCATCGTTGACTTCCAGTGGTAAATAATATTCTCATTATTTCTATTAATCTTGAGTTTAATAACGAATACTAACTTTATATGCATTAAATTTGTAAATCCATTTAACTAAAACATTTTTAGAAACACTTCCGCAATGGCTCGAGGATCTCAAAAAAAATAACGAAAGCATCACTACGCCTCAAGGTAAATCTGAATCTTGTTTAGTTTTGGTTTAAGAGTTTGAGTCTATGAATTTTGTTTTATTGTACATTATTGTTTTTGGACTCAGGTTCGTTCCAGTTAGGGCAGAAAGGTGCAGTGACGACTCGTCTCAACTGTCCCTCGACTCCTACGAATACTACTGGCGTTTGTACAATTATATTTGATTGTCCTGAAGTATTCAAGCTTCTTACAGACATTAACGTTTATTTAAAATACTTCTGTCAATTGAATGAGTAAGAAATTTTCGCTCTGTAATACAACTATTATTAATATTTATTTTAAATTTTAGGTATGCTGGAGTGTGTTGTCCAGTGAAACAAGAAATGACGCCCAGTGCATGATGGAACAATAAATCAGTTTATCGCAAAGCTATTATTGCAGAAGTGTGCCCCTTAAACAATAAAAATTTTATAAAATATAACTCACCTATCATTTGATCAATTTAAGGAAATAAAAATCATGATAAGCACAAGTTTTAGGCAATTACTAGTGTCCACATTTACGAATTTTCATTAGGTATACAGTCGAAGCCATTCCTTCTCCAGATTTTTTAAACTTCAAACGTCAAAGTGGCATTAACGCCGAAATTTTCAAAATGATAGAAAAATGACGTCCAAGATTTTCTGGCCACGATTGTAGATACTGTACGTAGTTTAACGAGCAGTAAGGAAACAATCAAATCTTGCACAATAATAGAGGTTTATGTAAAATAAACTTGTAAACATATATGGAAACCAACGACTTACAAACCACCAAAGTACTAAATATAAATGAAGAAGTACCTAAAGCCTAAAGTACGCCTAAGTTTTTATATTTTTACTTCCTGAGCGTAAATTAAGGAATTATAGTAATCGAGTCCATCAGGCGATTTGCTACTTTTATGTTTTGTCGACGTTTCATGACCCCTAAAGTACGAAAAAGTGATCTCGCGTTTCTGTTTATCTGTCTGTTTGTCTGTCTGGCGTGTGTGTCGATTTTTATTAAACACGTAAACTCCGAAACTACTGAACTGATTGATGTCAAATTTTGTATATACCTACATATTTTAGGAATATCATGAAGATAGTAAAACCCTAAACAAAATTTGGCTAATCATTTCCACCACCAATGGGACGTCATCTCCAAAATTTACAACATTTTTTAAATAAGATACTCGTTCAGTTGTGATGCATAAATCTGTGATGAGTTTTCGCCCTAGACTTATTACTATTATTATTACTACAATATTTCACTAGTTGGGAAAGTAAAAACAAAATAGTATAGTTTCATCAAGAAAACACATTTTACAAATAATACGAGAAAACAATACAAGCGTTATAATCACTTCATGTCATGTTTTTAGGACCATTAATGTTTTTTTTTGCATAACTTTTTTTTCTAAAATCGTGAATATTTGTTGTTAATAAAATAATTTAAAAGCACGCCTACAATATTTATGTACGTTTAAAATATGTATTTCCCGAGGTAACAACAAATTACTCCGACCCTGTCAAAATGGTTTTTAACTAAAATCAGTGATGCCAAAAATGATTTTTTGTATGATCACGTAGCTTTCGCAGTAAATTTTAATAATAACTAAAACAATCTGGAGAAGCAGACACCCAAATTGACAAAAATTTCGAAATTTACAAAATGCCGAAAAAGTAAGAGGAAATATACACAGGATAAAAGTAACAGAGATCAATCTATAGCACCTAATATGAAAACATCAAATGAGGTGTGCCGCAGTTTTTCATTCAAATTTAGTGTTTTCATATTAACGACCCTAGCTAATAAATAATAACGTTATTAGTTAAAGAAAAATCATCTACTTTAGCAAATTCGCTAAGCTAATTTTATAATTTAAGGTAAATAATAATAATTTTTTAAATCAGACAAAATTTACATAACTTGTCTAATAAACTCTTTACGTGACTATTCCATGATGAGGTACTTTCCTGAATTTATTTTTGTTTAAGAAATTAATTATTATTTCTCGTAAATACTACGGTGCAATGTTTTAAATTGGCCATAGGGATTTACATGTTAAAAACTTTAGGTTGTATTAATGAACTTTCTAACAGGGATTCTCAAGTGAAATTTAACAGAAAATTATACTAGTAAGTTGAAGAAACCAGGAAAATTTTTAGAAGGTAATTTTCTTAAGATGTTGCATGTTATTTGCTTCACCCAAGGGTTTTATCGACTATGTTAATTGATTCCCGACAGTTTTCTCGACGTTAGTTCGTCCGTACTCACCGCCCCCCTGAAAATATATATTTCAGTGAGCATTTTCGTATTTTTCTTCGATTCTAGTATTACCTCAAACTAATGACGTGAAGGATTCTGGTGTAAATAAGATACCTTGGGGCACGCTTTGATAAAATTATCTAAAAAAAATCAACACCAGAATAATTTTAATTGCACATATATTAAATTAAAAACTAATGAAAAAATTAGTACAGTTATATTGATCTACGAATACCTGGATGTGCAACAACGAATAAAGTACAGGGCTTTGCTTTTTAGCTGACCATTTTTTGTAAATTTTATCAATTCTTCCTGTGATGTTGTACGTTCGTATAGTTGAAAAAAGATCCAAAATTCAATTAGATATATTATGTTCAAAATATCTTCAAATCTCTAACTGAAATTACGAGTAGAATGTAGAGCATCCAAGTATAGTGGGACCTCGATAATCCGAATTAATTGGGGAAAAGATGTGTTCGGATTAGTGATTTGTTCGGATCAGCGAATTTCTCAAAAATCTGAAAGGGAATTGAATAACAACTTCACACACACTGCTGAAAACAAACTTCAAGGCATGAACCTTATTTTTTTTTAAACAGAAATAAAGTATCCTTAAGCAACAATGGATAATAGATACATTCGAAAAAAATATTAGGTATTCCGTGACCATTAACATGCTATTTTTTTGTCAACACGTCGGGATCTATATCCTTGAATTTTTTCAAAATTTTTAGATGACTTTTTCAAAAATTAAATTTTCCATTATGTCTTCGTATTAACAGAAAATTATAGTAATAAATAATGCCCTTATGCAAATTTCCACCCATTCTCGATGATTTTCTACACTTTCTTGTAGATTTTGGGCCGCAGAAGTCACTTCTGGCTTCATTTCTTCGACAACTTAAATTGTTTTTCCAAAATCGTCCATTGAAATATTGCAATTTTTAAAAATATCAAAAAATTCGAATTTCACACCGAATTTTTCGAAACTACTGCTCCGTTACCATCAACACACTATATTTTTGGAATCAGCATGTTGAGATCTACGACCCTAAATTTTTCCACAATTCTTAGACAACTTTTTAAAAGTGTAATTTTTTCAATGGTCCCCCCTTCAAATTTCGGTCAATTTTTGACATTTTTGAAACTTAACTAAATACATTTTCTTGTAGATTTTGAACTCTAGAACTCACTTCCGGCATGGTTAGTTTGATAAGTGCAACCGTTTTTCCAGAATCGACAGCTGAAGTATCAAAATTTTTAGAAATTTTCAAAAATTCACATTTCATATCGTTTCTTTCCAAAATGTTGCTCCGTGACCATCAACACACTATATTTTTGGAATCAGCATGTCGAGATCTACGTCCTGAATTTTTTCGCAATTTTTAGACCACTTTTTTAAAAGTGAAATTTTTTCAATTTAGTTCAATCCTTCTTCAAATTTCGGCCAAATTTTCATATTTTCTAAACTCAACTAAATACATTTTCTTGTAGATTTCGTGCCCTAGAACTCAGTTCGGGCCTCGTTTCTTTGATAACTGCAACAGTTTTTCCGGAATCGTCCGTTGAAATATCGAAATTTTTAGAAATGTTTAAAAATCTACATTTCGTACCGTTTATTTCGAAAATGTTGTTCCGTGACCATCAACACGCTATATTTATGGAATCAGCATGTCGATATGCACGTCCCTGAATTTTTTCGCAATTTTTAGATGACATTTTTAAAAGTGACATTTTTTCAAATTGCGGTCAATTTTTGACATTTTCGAAACTTAACTAAAAACATTTTCTTGTAGATTTCGAGCTCTAGAACCCACTTCCGGCATCGTTTCTTTGATAAGTGCAACCGTTTTCCCAGAATCGACCATTGAAATATCGAAATTCGCATTTCGTACCGATTTTTTCGAAAATGTTACTCCGTGGCCATAAACTCGCTATATTTTTGAAATTAGCACGTCGGGATAGATCCCTGAATTTTTTCAGAATTTTTAGACAACTATTACAAAAATGAACTTTTCTCATGCAAATTTCGACCCATTTTTGACGATTTTCGAAGTTCAACTATATACTTTTTCTTGTAGATTTCGGGCCGCAGAAGTCACTTCCGGCCTCATTTCTTTGATAACTTCAACCTTTTTTCCAGAATTAGTTAATTAAAGTCAGTGCATTGAAATATAACAATTTTTAAAAATTTCAAAAATTCAGTACAACACGTGCAAAAAGAAGATCTTGCGTCATTTTTGCAAGTAGGTGCATGTTTTCAAGTTCAGTTCGGATTGCAGAGTTTTCGTTCGGATTAAAGAGGGATCGACTTCAGCTAGCCTCGGTTCGAATTACTGGATGTTCGGATAACCGTAGGTTCGGATTATAGAGGTTAAACTGTACTGATAATAGGTAATTTTCTAAGTATTTTTTAAAGATTTGGGAACTGACTGATTTCTCCTAGTCTTAAATTTCGTTTGTACAGAAGGTTGGCCACAAACGGAAAAATATTTAACATCGAATTTCTTAAAGATCCGTCAAAGTAAGTCGTTTTTGTTCAAAGATTCATAACTAAGATGTCTAAACAATTTGCAATTTTTGCAGACGTTCACTAAGATTTTTAGAAACTGAAGGTTTTCAGTATGTTCTTATATTGTTTTCGTCGCCCCTCTTATTTTTGCAGAACTCCCCCTCAATCGAACCTCAGACTTCCAGCTCCACCTTGAATTTTTCCGCCCACTTTCGGAACCAGTAGTGTAGATGCTAACCAAAACTTGTCTGATCATCTCCACCAACAATGGGATGACGTCATCTCCAAATTTTACAATGATAAATGTTGTTTAAATTTTCTAGAATAACATTTTCCTACCCTTGAGGTTTATGAATCTGTGTTAATTTTGTACCCTAGACATCCAGATTAAAAAAAAAATTGGTCGAAAGTTGTTTCGACAGAACCTCCCTCGCTCCTGAAGTACAATGAAATATTTTCGAAAAATTATAAAATTTGATTTTCCGAATTTTATATTTTTTATGATAACCCATATCAGTTGTAAAAGAAAATTTGCAATACCAAGTAAATTTCATTGAAAATAGGTTTTTTTCAAAATTACCTGAAATAATAAATATTATTAATAAGTAAGTCTAAACTTATCCCGTGCAAAATAAATTTAAATAATTTAATACGTAATGTTATGTTATTCAACTGGAGTATGTGAGGCTTGTTCATGACTTGGTCGCTCCAGTTACAAGCTGTAAAATGTG